GCAAGTAGAAAAGAGGCATTACTTTTGGGTAGGAAAAAAAATGGTAAACTTTAGGATATGCAGATAAGTTAAGGGTTCTTATGTACAATAGAATAATTCAGAGATTTTTCTGGTGAAATTGAAAGCATTTATTCACATTTATTTATTTATTCACTTAACTTGTCCTTAGTGGTGTTTATAGAGTTTATAAGCAGAGCTTTAAATTATAAATGCTCCTGACTGCTCTGATTAACCTTGCTAGGAGATAAGCAGTAACCTTACGAGATGCTTTTCTGAGTGTGTGTTGCTATCATCAGTCATGCGCAGCTGCTTTGCCTCTAGTGTCACTATATTTGTTTCTGAGCCTTGACGGGATTGGGGAGTATTATGACATTCAGCAGAGAGCTGGTAGCCCCATGCTGATGGGGGCCACTTTAGTTGACTTTTGGCGCATTAATGAGTTCTATTTGAACTCTAACAGTGGAATAATTAGTGTTGATTTTGTAAACCAGGTAGCGGTTTGGTCAGTTAGTGCTGTTAGTGTTTTCAGGATAATGGCAGTGAAAAGCCCTTGTCTTCCAGGTCTACCTCAGGTGATGTATATGTGGGTAACTTTCTTTTCATCGACTCAGCAGTGACTAGAGGGAAATCATGTTTCTCAAATAGAGAGAGAGTGTGGGAGGGGGTAAGTATATGTAATGGTGAATCAGATCTCTCCTGGGAAGACAGATGTGAGGGATTCCAAAGCTTTAGGAACTTTTTTCTTGGGCTTTAGGTCCTCTTTAGGGATTCACTTAGTGCAGCATCAGCAAAGCAGGAAAGTCCAGCAATGCAAGTAATTGACCATGATGATTAAGGCCAGGACTGCAAATCACAAATGAAAATATCCAAGCAAGTGATCCATCCATGTTAGGAGCCTAGAAAGAGGAAGATCTTCAGGTTGAAAAGTGTCGGAAGCCTGATTAGGTCACAAGAGGTCAGAATTCCAGAAAGAGGTGAACTACTACTTCCTAAGAGGGGAAGATTGTTCTTCAGTCACTCATGTGTATGCAAGATGAGGAAAATGGAGACTTGCTGCTGCCGGCAGCAACTGATCAAAAGACTCAAATGGGAAGTGTAACATAAATGCTGTCTGGTCCTGTCTTTCTCCTGTGTGTTCTAATGTCACTGACATTTTCCTGCAATGCACACATGGAGACTTGTAAGAGAAGAGAAAGCAAAGCTGAGTTGCACCCAAATTAGAGCTGTAAATTTGCTTATCTTGACAGGAACCAAAGAGGATGACAGGATGCTTTGGAAAGCCATTGAACTTTTCTAAGAAGGAGACCAATTGATTTTGAGTATAGCTCTACAAAGACAGAGAGGAGTTATTAACAAACCAAACAGCTCCATATTGTGAGCTCTAGCACCAGACCAATCAGTATTAACTGACACAGTTTTCCTTTTTCCAACAAGGTGTCTGTGTGAAGCTGGATTTTCTTCATATACTTCAACCAAAACAACATATCGTAACAGACTGAATACAGAAGCAAATATGTGAATCTAGCTGTCTTCTATTAATCCAGACACTAAAGAGATTTGCAAAACTATAAAACAGCACGACTCTTCTATTTTTTGTGTGTTAGAAAATGGCTATTTTTCATAAAATATGTTAATATGTAATGAGTTTATTATTGCTATACCTAAATTAATTAAATATTTTGCCATTTTATTTTCTAATATGGTAACCCACAGATAGATGTAAACCATGTGCACAAAAGCTGTTTGGGGTCCAATAATTTTTAAGAGTATAAAGGGATCCTGAGCCCCAAAAGTTTGAGAAGCAATGTACTAGAAAAAAGTTATTTCATTAACCAGGGCGGGGATGGGATCCAGAATCTTGTCAGAGAGAAGTAGAAGGGGAGTTTCCAGAAAAGGAGAGCAGAGAAAGATCTGTGAAGCATGGGAAGTAGAAAGATTGCTACGATGAGAAATAAAAAGTCATTTTGGTCACTTTGGGTTCTTTTCTGTCTGTGGCATCTTGTTAGGTCAGTATTTGCACGGGTTCTGTAACTTGAACCCAGACGTTTGCCCAGCTTTCATGTGATACAAGTGAGCTGTTATGAGTTGACTGGTAGATTGTGAGACCAGTTCAGCCCAGTAATTTGATTAGAATGAGAAAGTAGTATGTGATGAAACGGAATCTTTAGGACTGTAAACTTTCTAGTGTGTAACAGATTTTTAGCACCTGCTTCATTTCCCATAACTTAGTCTCATATCAAATCCAGAAAAAAGTTCTACTTGATCCTGTCCTATGCAATAATTTACAGCATTATATTGAAGCTCAAATGTATGTTCTTCTCTTTTTAAAAAATGCATTTTGCATTGTAGAATAGGAAAGGTACTCAGCTCTACTTTTTGATTTGAGAACTGTTTCTACATGTTCTTCTTTTCAACAAGTTTGCTTTTCTGTCCAAAGTAAGGAACTTTGTGGTCTGTATAGCAATGTGAAATCAATCACTAGTCAACACAGGCTAGATTGTTTGAGGGGTGTGACATGTGGCGTATTGTTCTGATCAGAGGGGCATTTACTGCGAGGCTAATGATGCTACTCTTCAAGGCCCCTCACTTGCGTGAGTCCCTTTTGTATTTGTAATATTGAATCTTTTTTTTTAAAAGATGCTCTCCCTCCAAAACTTGTATTAGCCTCAGTCTTCACAAAACCTAGTTCTGAGGAGTTCTGTGTAAGGGTCTTGGGGATCTAGGAGTTAGCTCTAAAGACAATGTTGGATGAGTAGGGCAGATATTTTATAAGGAAAGGAGTTTAGCTGTAACACTTGAAAACATTCACAGCATTTCTTTCAGGGCATTTGTTCAATTATTAGCTCAACTTGTAGTAATACTTATTCAAATTTAGAAGGATTTAGAAGACAAAATTTTAATCTGTCTACCACACAATATTTATTCTTAGCACTGAGAAAGAGCTCTCTTTTCTGTATAATAAGCTAAAAGCCATTCTCACTGGGCTCCTCTTCAAGTGAAGCCTTTGAAGAGGAGTCGGCAATGTTTGTACTTTTCAGACCCTCAGGCTCTGAGGGAACTTTAGTATTTATTAAAGCCCCCGTGCTCATTTTACCAACTCTTAACCTTTCCTTTCTGGATTTTTCAGCCCTTTTCTCCAGAGAGTCTTCTACTAGTTGTTCTCCCAGTCATTATCGTGTAACAACAAGAGCAGCAGCAGCAGGAGCACAGTACTGTGCTGACTGCTCAGCAAACATGGTCTCTCTTGGGGTAGAGACTCTTACCTGTCCTTGTGGTACAGATGAGGAAACAGTCTGAGAGAAGTAACTTGCTGAGGGTCACAAAACTTAGAAAGTGCTAGAGCTGAGACTCAAACCTTAGTGTTTTGATGGCAGCATCTTTACTTGGTTCATCTTCTGCTGTCAGCCAGATAACCTTGGAATGAGAATCTAAGAAAATCCCAACACAAAGTACTAATGTACCAGGGCCTAGAAGCTTTGTGTTTTTTTTGCGAGGCAGATGGGCCCTGAGCTGACTTCTGCCAATCCTCCTCCTCTTTTTGCTGAGGAAGACCAGCCCTGGGCTAACATCCACTCCCATCTTCCTCCACTTTATATGGGACGCCTCCACAGCATGGCTTGACAAGCAGTGTGTCGGTGCGCGCCCGGGATGCAAACCGGCGAACCCTGGGCCGCCGCAGCGGAGCCCGCGCACTTAGCTGCTTGCGCCACCGGGCCGGCCCCCTAGAAGCTTTTTCATAACGGTGGAATGTTTTATTTTTTAAACTGAGCATTAGGTAGACAGGCATTGCTTTATTGTTATTCCTTGTGTGTGTGTGTGTGTGTGTGTGTGTGTGTGTGTGTGAAGATCAGCTCTGAGCTAACATCTGCCAATCTTCCTCTTTTTGCTGAGGAAGACTGGCCCTGGGCTAACATCTGTGCCCATCTTCCTCCACTTTATATGGGACGCCACCACAGCATGGCCTGACAAGTGGTGCCTCAGTGTGCGCCCGGGATCTGAACCCCGGGCCACCAGCAGGGGAGCGTGTGCACTTAACCCCTATACCAAGGGGCAGGCCCTCCTTTTTTTTTTTTTTTTTTTTTTTTTTTGCTGAGGAAGAGTCGCCCTGAGCTAACATCTGTTGCCAGTCTTCTTCTTTTTGCTTGAGGAAGGTTCACCCTGAGCTAACATCTGTGCCAGTCTTCCTCGATTTTATATGTGGGTCGCTGCCACAGCATGGCCACCAACAAGTAGTATAGGTCCACGCCTGGGAACCAAACCTGAGCCACCAAAGTGGAGTGCTCCGAACTTAACCACTAGGCCATGGGCCCAGCCCCTATTGTTATTCTTTATACTCTATACATATTTTATGAACATTCGTTTTATAAGTACAAAATATTTTAAAAGAATGTAGAAAAGAATAATTATTTATGAAATGCATTTTTAATTAATGCAATTCTAGCAATATAAAGTACAAAGCAAAAAGCCCATAAATATCACCACTCACAAATATCACCACCCAGAAACACACATTAAGTGATTAATGATTAGTGATTAATTAGTGATTAATGATTAAGTGATAATCATTCCACAGTATTCTTTATGTTTATATACAGAAAAGATAGAAATTATTAGGATTGTTTTAGTTATCTAGTATGCATAACAAATTGCCCCCAAACTTAGTAGCTTATAACAACAAAAACCAATTATTTACGCAGGCCAAGAAGCTCTTTAATGCTTGGTGAGAGATTTGCTACCCTAGCCAGTTTCAGACTTGCCCGCAGACATGGAGGAGTCTTTAGTTATCTAATTCAATGGCCTCTGGCAAGCAAACCAGCTTCTTACTTCATACACATCAGTAAATATGGTCAGTATTGTTTCACTTCTTTGTTAGGATGTGTAGTCCCATGTGCCTGGTACACGTAGGCACTTAATGAAGACTCATGAACAAATGAATTAAGTAGTGGTGCCTTTCATGGACTTGGGTGCTTAACACCTATTTCTCTTTTTGCCTGGCTTAGGTATTTGGCTCGAGTCGGAGAGCTTGAAGCTACTGACACTGAAGACCCAAATCTAAATTATGGACTTGTTGTGGACTGTGGCAGCAGTGGCTCCCGGATTTTTGTTTATTTCTGGCCAAGACATAATGGGAACCCCCATGATTTGCTGGACATCAAACAGATGAGAGACCGCAACAGCCAACCAGTGGTTAAAAAAATCAAGCCAGGTACTAATCGGAATATATTTTGTTGTTGATCTCTTTTATCTGCTACAAGCATGAGAGAGGAGAGAAGAGAAGAGGGAGAAAGAAAGCTACCCTTTTCTTCTTGAGATTCTAGATAATGGGAGGGATATCTCATTCATTGCTGCCCCCCTCCTCTCAAATAAATAAGTATTTAGGACCTTAAGCAGAACTTTATGGGGTGTGAGTCTTCTGAGGCAATGTGATCTGCTTTATTAAAGAAAGTATTTTGTCTTACTTAAGGAATCTCTGCAATGGCAGACACTCCAGAACATGCCAGTGATTACCTTCGTCCTCTGCTGAGCTTTGCTGCTGCTCATGTGCCTGTGAAGAAGCACAAGGAGACCCCCCTTTACATCCTATGCACAGCAGGCATGAGGCTTCTCCCAGAGAGGTGAGATGCAGGGTCTGAGAAACACAGGAAAGTGGGTAGCACAAGAGTTGAAAGGCTGATTCCATGCACCGTTCTCTGTGGTTCCCTGGTCTGAGGGTGGGATGTGTGTACAGCACACAGAGTTGACAGGTGGCACTAAAAGACTCTTCTCTCAAAATAGAACAGAGACACCCCTGCACCCAATTATTTCACAATCAGTTGTTCTCAGCTTCATGTCATTTGCTTCTTTAGGATCAATATCTATCTCTGAGATGGCTGTAATGATTCTTAGTTCTGATTGAGGGTTGCGAGCAGTGGTGATGGTGATACATTTGGATCACTAGGCACCTAGAGGGGGAGCATAATTACAGAAGGGTGGTAGGAGGGTCACTCGAGGGCCTGGGTACCTGGGGGCTAGTAGGAGGGCTCTGGTAGGAATGCTGCTTTCTCTGTAACTTTGCCTGGCTCGCTGGTGATAGTTGGTACTGTTTGCAAAGTTTAGTCTCCATTGCTTTAGACGTTTTTGCAACCCCAGAGAGCCAGTTTAGCCTGGCAGGTTGCCACCTGATCCCTCTTCCTTCACTCGAAGAAGAGGAGGAAAAGGAGGAAGAAGAGGAAGAGGCAGCAGTTATACTTAGGTTTGTGATTTCTCCGCTTTGACACCTCCCCTTCCTGTCCACACTATGGTCCTGGGGTGGGAGTGAGCTCCCTTACCTTTAGAATCCATCCTTCTGCAGTGTTCATAGACTCATAGACATCAGGTATTTTTTATTAGCTTAAATATTTTTCCTTGATAATAGCAGTTCCCTTTTCCACAAAGTTTCATTTTGTGTACTTGGCCAGCAACTGCAAAAACCTCAGCCATCAGTGTAGGGCTTCATGCTGCTGATGCCAGACATGGCCGACAATATAACAAATGTCAACACTTGTTTCAGCAGACTTCTTTCCTTCTGTTTGCTGATTTACTATCTGGTTTACTTTTGAGAAGCAGATTATTTTATATAGCCATTTATCAGCATGAGAGGCCTTCTGACGCCTTATTTTCCCATACATCATGGTCTTTAAAAAATTTTTGGTTTGTTTTTACTTATTTTTAAAACCAAACTTTAAAATATTATAGCTGCAACCTTAGATCCTTAAAGGAAGTCTTTTTTTTTTTTTTTTTTTTGTGAAGATTGGCCCTGAGCTAACATCCATGCCAATCCTCCTCTTTTCTTTTTTCTTTTTTTTGCTGATGAAGCCTGGCCCTGGGCTAACATCCATGCCCATCTTCCTCCACTTTGTATGGGACACCACCACAGCATGGCCTGACAAGCAGTGCATCAGTGCGCGCCCGGGGTCCGAACCTGGGCCGCCAGCAGCGGGGCGCACGCACTTAACCACTACGCCACCGGGCTGGCCCTTAAAGGAAGTCTTTAAAACAAACAAAACATTATAATCCTACTACTCTATCAAAACTGTTTCATGTTGTCACATTCACGTCTCCCTGTAAGTTTATATGTAATTTCTACAAAGCTGTAATCATACTGCACATGCAATTTAGAATTGTTTTTGACATAAATAATATTCACATTTTTCAAAATTTTAGAAATCCTGGGAAGAGTATAGATGACACAGGCTGTACCACATCACAGGTTTGTGAATGGCTTGAGGTCTCACAACCAAGGAACGGGGAGGAGGGCCAGAGAAAAAGCTGAGTCAGAGGTCAAAAAGGCAGAGCCTACCAGCAGGGTGATGGTTTGGCAACGTGTTATGTGTCTGGAGCAAAGGAGATGATTGCCTCACCTCCTGGCTCGGCTCAGCATTGCCTCTGTTCATCAAAGAAGTTTCTATCCAAACAAAACCCAATATCCAAACTCCACCCCATTTGTCTAAGATGTTCACTGTCAGTGTGGAAGCTCCGAATAGTAATATTTATTTTATCTTAAAAATTTTTAAAGAACTTGCCTTTTCTTTTAACTTATTTTCTGATCACCTCTTTTAATAATGCCAAGATCTATCCTGGGCTTCTAGAATCATTGCTAGCTCTTAGGCAGCTATAGTTGTTGACATCACTGTAACCATCACTGCAGGAACCTGTTTTGTATAGTTAATGCTTTGCTAATTTATTAGTATTATGAGCAATATTCAAAATGAGTTTGAATCACTGGACTGTATTTTGAATTTATTAGCACTAGGTTTTACTTCTTTGCCAAAGGCCTGGACTAGGAGTTTGTTCCACCTCCTTTGATTTTGTAATGGAAATACCCTTACAAAATTAAAAAGGTAATACAAGGTGGTATTTAAGAAAAAAACTCTTTATTATGGGAAATTTCAAATGTATGTTAGAGAGAACAGTGTAATGAATCCCCATTTACTCACAACCCAGCTTCAACAGTTATCAGTGTTTTGCCATTAAAAGTTTTTTTGTTAAATAAAGAAACAATATTGAATTTTAGAAAGTTCTATCCTGTGCAGTACATGAAGAGTGTTTTTTGTTTTGTTTTTTAACATAAATTGGGATCATATTATACATACTGTTTTGTAACCTATTAGAACTTAAAATATATTGAACATTTCTTTTTTTTTTTTTTTAAAGATTTTATTTATTTATTTCCCACCCCCAAAGCCCCAGTAGATAGTTGTATGTCATAGCTGCACATCCTTCTAGTTGCTGTATGTGGGACGCGGCCTCAGCATGGCTGGAGAAGTGGTGCCTCAGTGCCCGCCCGGGATCCGAACCCCGGACCGCCAGCAGCAGAGCGCGAGCACTTAACTGCTAAGCCACGGTGCCGGCCCATGGACATCTTTTTATGTCAATACATGTAGATATAAATTGACCTCATTTCTTTTAACATCTGTATAGTGTTACATTGTATAGATGTACCATAAATTATTTAACCAATCCCTATTGATGTACATTTAGGTTATTTCCAGTTTTTCATTGTTACAAATAATGCTGCAGTATTCTTCCTCTTTGTATTCTTATCTGATGATTCCTTGCAATAAATTTCTAAAAGTGTAACAGCCGAGTCAAAGATTAAGCACATTAAAAATTTTGATACATAGTCCTAGATTGCCCTTTAGAATGGTTGTACCAGTACTTTACATTCCAAACAGCAACGTATGTTGGTGCCCATTCTTCCATATCATCACCAAAACCAGCAAGCCTTCTTCTTTGGGTAGTTTAGAAGCCTATCCAACAGGGAGGGTAAAATAGCCCTTTTTATTCCCCATGTGAAATTCTTATTGTAAGAATTTAATATGTATAACAATGAGCTTTTTTAGAAACTATACTTGACATTATATTGGAAGATTATTACTCTAAATGTAATTCTTTTAAGTGCAAACAGCATTCTTCACCAAGTCATGCTGACAACTAAGTCAGATAGAATATTTTTGTAATGAGGAATTTTAAAAATCCAAGATAATTGCTCCTAGTTTTTAACCAAAATTTTCTCCAGATTCCTGTTATTACTTTTAGCTTTGTTTCTTTGCTTTTATTTGTCTGATAATACTGATAACATAAAACTTTAGAGGAATAAACAACTAAGCTTCAAACATTATCCCCAAATTATGACTTTTGGATTTTGATCCTGATCTGGGTTTTTCACAAATGGTAAGATTTTTATAAAGAAAAAAATATCAACCCTTGAAATATGGAAAAAGAGATTAAAAAGCTCAGGGCTGGCCCTGTGGCTTAGCGGTTAAGTGCGCGCATTCCGCTACTGGCGGCCTGGGTTCACCACACTGCTTGTCCGGCCATGCTGAGGCCGCGTCCCACATCCAGCAACTAGAATGATGTGCAACTATGACATACAACTATCTACTGGGGCTTTGGGGGAAAAAAAAAAGGAGGAGGATTGGCAATAGATGTTAGCTCAGAGCCAGTCTTCCTCAGCAAAAGGAGGAGGATTGGCATGGATGTTAGCTCAGGGCTGATCTTCCTCACAAAAAAAAAAAAAAAAGTTCACTGTTAGTTTATGTAAAGGATTATGTAGAAATTATGGACCTAATAGTGCTTCTTGTGTGGTGATGTGAGGCGTTGTTTCTGTATTGTGTAAGATCTGAGGATGAGGTTGTGTTCCTCAATTTAACAGCTTCCTTTCATAGTGGTTAGGAGTAATGTAATTACATGTGTTTTATAGATTACAAAATTGTGCTTCAGTTTCCTGTGGCTTATTCATACTCAGCCTGTGAGAGGATTAGAACCATAGTGCCATCATTTAACACTATTTGAATTGTAAGATTATGTAAAGGAAAAGCATTACTATTAGTGTATTGCCTTGTAAGTAGGAGTCCATACATTGGAGGCAGTTTAAACCTTTGTAATCAAAGGAGGTAACAAAAAGAAGCAGAGCTTGACAAGTGGATGGGGTAGGTGAACAGCGAGGTCGTAATGAGGCTAAATAGAAGGTCAAGTTGAGGCTGTGTGTGAGGAGAGAGTTTAAGGATTAACTTGTAGATTCTTTTGTTCTTTATTGCAGGAAGCAGTTGGCTATCTTGGCTGATCTCGTGAAAGATTTACCCCTGGAGTTTGACTTCCTCTTTTCACAGTCTCAGGCAGAAGTGATCTCTGGGAAGCAGGAAGGTACTGGGCCCTGAGGGGTGCTCTGGTTCACCTCTCAGCCAACCATGACACTGTCTCTCTAACCGGTGTTTAGGATTATTTTGTATGTCTGATTTTTATTTTTCTGCCAATAATTTTCTTGATTCTGCTATATAGTTTATTTGATCATTTGCATATTCTGCATTGGTATCTGTTTTAGAATGCTGCTTCTAGAAGTCATAAATTGATGTCTGTTTTTAACTTTGTACTAAGTACTATTTTTATAAGAATGTATTAGCATTTAATGATGATTCCAAATGGATATTTGGTTAGCTAATTGTAGTTTTGAAAATATACATACTTCCAGGAGTTGTACCAAGTTGGCCAAATTCAAATGTAAAGCAAATTATTAGATTAAAGTAAGATGAAACTTTAATTTCAGGGAATGAGCAGGATAAGTGACTTGTTTGTTATGGGCTCTCCCTTTATTGCACTTACTATGCAGTATTGATATTTCCCTAAAAGCTCACACTTTTAGGGACACTTGTAGTTTTGGGGTGCAGTTGACTGTATGTTCTCGTGTGGCCCGAATGGGGTCAATATAATGAGTTATGTTTCCATTTCTTAAAAAAGAATTTTTTTTGTCTTCTAGTTGCAGTTCACATACGGGAAAAGACTTACCTTTTGCAATTTCAGTAATGCATTTTTTAATGCTAAAATTTCCATTTGGTTCTTTTTTATATTCTATTTCTTTGCTGAGACTTTTTGTCTTTCCATTCATTGTAAGACTGCTCTTATTTCTTTATTATGTAGCTGCTTTAATACCTTTGTCTGAGAATTCTAACATCTGTGTCATCTCGGGGTTGGCATCTTTTCCTTTGTGGGTTGAGGTTTGCTTAGTTCTTCATATGCCAAGTAATTTTATATTGTATCCTGGACATTGTGAATATTACATTACAGGATGCTGGGTCTTGTTTCAATCATAAGGAGAATGTTGACTTTTTTTTTTGTTTTAGCAGACAGTTGACTTGGTTAGGTTGAGGCCTCAAGTTCTGACCTGCCTTCTATGGGCTGTGATTCTACTGATTCATTTTTCAAAGCCTTGGCACTGCTATTTGGGTTTATCCTATGTGTGTGCCAGCCAGTGGCCAATCTGGAATCTGGGCATAGCCTATACAAATGGGTTGTCTAGCCAATAGTTCAGTCCTCAAAACCTTTGATATATTGTTTAGAGTCAGATCCATGCATGTGTAGCTTGGAGGTGAGCCCAGGAGTTCATAAACCACTTTACTCCCTACTCTCCACGATCTCCCTGACACTGTCTCGTTCCCTGGGTCTCACTTTCATGGTCCCCCAGTTAGAAAGCCCGGGCTTTAATTTGCCCACTCTGCCATGCATTTCCCATGATTGCATCTGTATCCAGGGCTAAATGGTAGAGGACAAAGGGAGAAAAATAAGCAATAGGGATTTGCCCCAGCTCTTGAGGCTACAGCTCCTCTGGTCAGAGAGAAGGATTCGTATCCCTCAGAGTTTTAGGCATGGATTGCCTGGGGTAGGAGAGAACAAAATAAAGGGGAAAAAAAGGAAGGGATTTCCCCCCACTCTTTCTGAATCTTTGGAGTCTCCTTTTCTGCTTCTTGGACTGGAAAACAAGATCTTGAAGTTCTTTCTGTCCACACCTGGTGTGTACTTCTGTGTTTCAAGCTGCTTTTGAGTCCAGGCCAGGCAATATCTGAGGGGGAAAAATGGGAAACTCACTACTGGTTTGGTGGTACTTTAAACTCTGATGATCAGTCCTAGTGTACCCACTATCATTTACTTTCAGACTCTCAGAAATCTGCTCCATACACTCTATCCAGAGGTTATATTTGCATTCAGTGGGGAGATGGGGTGGAGTGTGCTTCCTCCATATTGCCCAGAATCAGAACTCCAAGATTTACACTTTTGACATTTGTTTTTACACATTCATTCCTATTCCTTGTAGGAAATTTTAAAAATGCAAGTAATTTTAAAAGGGAAACACATCACAAGATAAAAGATTTTAAATTCATACAGAGACTGTGGAGTAAAATACTATTATCATTTTTTTCCAAGAAAAGCAGGAAAAAAGCAGCCCTGGGGAGAGGTGTATACATGGTATATAGCAAACGAGAATTAAGAGAGGGCTTTTATATTTCTTACTTAGGGGTTTATGCATGGATTGGAATCAACTTTGTTTTGGGAAGATTCGACCATGAGGATGGTGAGTAATAACTGTCTTCTTATGACAGTTCTAAGTGCTGAAGTTTTATGTCATAACCTATCAGTAGCGTGTAAGTGCTAATTTGGAGTTGTTTTTCTTTCTTCTTTCTCTTTTTAAAACTTAAGATGCTTCATTTTCCAGTTCTAACTTGCTTTCTTTTATTTCTTTTTAAGTTTTAATGTGGAAAGTTTCAAACACTCACAAAAGTAGAGTAAATTGGGGCCGGCCCGGTGGCGCGGTGGTTAAGCGCGCACACTCCACTGCGGCGGCCCGGGGTTTGCAGGTTCAGATCCCGGGTGTGCACTGATGCACCACTTGTCAAGCCATGCTGTGGTGGCGTCCCATATAAAGTAGAGGAAGATGGGCATGGATGTTAGCCCAGGGCCAATCTTCCTCAGCAAAAAGAGGAGGAGTGGTGACGGACGTTAGCTCAGGGCTAATCCTCCTCACAAAAAAAAAAAAAAAAAAAGACAACAAAAGTAGAGTAAATAATAAAATGAACCTATATGAATTCATTATCCAGACTCAACACTTATTAATGGTTTGCCATTTTTTTGCCCCAAACTCTCCCCACACAGCACAGGTTTTCTTCCCTATTGGATTTTTAAAAGCAAACTCCAGACATATCATTTTATCTTCATGTACTTCAGTATATATATTAACCAATAAGGAGTTTAAAACAAACATAAAATATCCACAGTGCCATTTTTAAACTTAATAAAAAGTTAACAATTCCTAATACCATGTAATATCCATCTAATACACAGTAAAGAGTTAGCTGATTGTCTCAAGAATATTTGTAGTTGTCTCGTTCATATCAGAATCTGAACGTGGATCACAAATTACGTCTGTTTGACGTGTCTCTTTTAATCTATAACAGTTAGCTTTACTCCCACCTTTTTTTCCAAATCGTTGATTAAGAAAAAAAGCTGAGTCAACATGATAGAATGAATTTGTCACATTCTAGATTTGGTTGACTGCATCTTTGTGGGGTCTTGAACATGTTTCTTATCTCCCCTTATGTTCTGTAAACTGGAGATTAGATATAGAAGCTTGATCAGACTCGGATTCAATTCTTTTGGCAAGAATAAATCATAGATGGTGCTAAGTGTTTCCTACTACATTACATTAGGAGTTTTATGATGTCTAGTTGTCCTACTTTTAGTCATGTTAAGACTGATCATGTATTCAGGGTTCAGGTATTGTCAGCCTGATCTAATCTATTATAAAAATTTCCCATCCACTTTTCAGCTGATGGTTATAGTAGCCAATTGTGACCATTGCTTAGATCTGTTTTTTCATTAGAGGCTGTGAAATGGTGATTTTTCTAATTCTGTCATTCCTTCTGCATTTAACAGCTGGGATTTTTGTATAATGAAATTTTCTTCATTAATTGTTTGGTTATCCTGAAATACAGTTCTTATGGGAAAGACAGAATAAATCCTTGATGCTTTCCTTTTATTTATCAAGTTTTTGAATAACAAATTGGCGTCCTAGCAACTTCCAAAGGTAACCAGTGAAGTTTTTTCTTTTTTTCAGTATCATTATGAACTTGTGAATTTTAATGTATTCGATGCATTGCAGCCCATCACATCATTATTTTTTTTGGTGCTCAAATTACCATCGTTGGCCAGTAGGAGCACCTTTAGGTTGGCTCTTGCACCCTTTTAACATGATCCCAATAGTCTATTATAGTTCCCTTGCTTTTTGGCACACCAAGGTATTCCATGCTCATCTTGTATTTTTTAGACCTGAGGTTGGTCATTTTTTAAAAGGGGCCCTGGTTTCTTTTAGTGGAAAATGATATTTAGAGACCATGGTCTAGATGCCAGGGGTGCTTATTGCTCCTAGATTATCTTTGCTTCTAGGCCTTTTCAGTGGACAGAGCTAGGAAATATGTATTTTTTAGAAAGAGAAAAATAAATCATGATCTCAATAGTGATAGTTCCAATTCATATTTAAGAGTATAAAGTTATTCTTTGATTTCTTTCTTTCTTTCTTTTTTTTTTTTTTGAGGAAGATCAGCCCTGAGCTAACATCCGATGCCAATCCTCCTCTTTCTGCTGAGGAAGACTGGCCCTGGGCTAACATCCGTACCCATCTTCCTCTACTTTATATACGACACCACCACAGCATGGCTTGACAAGTGGTGTGTTGGTGCGCGCCTGGGATCCGAACCTATGAACCCTTGGGCCGCCAAAGCAGAGTGTGCACACTTAACTGCTAAGCCATCGGGCCGGCCCCTAATTTCTTTAACTTTATACTTATATCCTCTTTCTCTTATGCTGAACATTTGTTCCTAAAGATATTAACATAAACATTTATTTGCTTTATTTTATAATATACGTTTATATTAATGGTTTAAATATAATAATACTGATTATTATTAACCTCTGTCCTCAACCTCTGTCCTTCCTCCAAAGCAGTTATTACCAATAAGACTGCTAGAATGCAGTTTAAGATACTTGTTTCTTTTGTCATTAAGATATATTCTACAAGGGACATATAGTCAAAATACCATGTTTTCAGTCACTTCAAATAATTCTTCTCTGTGTAATATACAGTTGATACAATTAGATTTATTTATTTCCATTTGCTTTCAATTCTTTAAGAGATTTCTGTTTCTAGTTTTTTTGTTTTTCCTTTTGACTTAATTTTGGTTTTTAATTACTAGACCCTTTGGTTCCCGTATTTATTTCAGAATCAGATGCTGAGGCTCCCCAGGAATTGGCAGCAGGACGCAGAAGGACAGTAGGTATACTGGATATGGGAGGAGCCTCTCTCCAAATTGCTTATGAAGTTCCTACCTCAACCTCTGTCCTTCCTCCACAACAGGTATTTTACCTTTTAGGGAAATTCATTTGCTAGGAATGCCAGTATTTGAGGAGGAAGGGCACTGTCTTTGGATTTTGACTGAGTTGTCTGGGTCCAAACATTTGTTCAGACACTTGCTAGCTTGTGTTATCTTGGTTAGGTTACCTCTCTGAGCCTTACTTTCTTCATATATAAAAAGGGAATAATAATAGTATCCACTTCATAAAATTATGAGAATGAAATAACACTACGTGTGTAAAGCACTTAGCCAACTGCCCAGCATGTAATGAATGTTTAATACATTTTAGCGATTATAATTATACTACCTACCTCCTAGAGTTGCTGAGGATTAAGCATGATAATACATACAAATCTCGGAGCACAATATTTGATACATACTTGTTCATTAAATGTTATTTCCTTTCCCATACCGATGATTCCATTCTTGTGCTCCTAATGTTCCTTACCTGACTAGAATGTAAAGAATGTATTTTGAGGGAGAAGTTTCATCAGAGAAGAAAAAGAAACACCGTCACTTTTTGAGCAGTTTTTATGTGCAAGGAATGAGACATGTGGCACCACCCGCATCAGTGAGATAGCCTGTGATAACACGCAAACCATGACAGTGCTGTCATTTGGTCTAAACCAGGATTTTACATCTTTGGCACTAATGACATTTTGAGCTGGATAATTCTTTGTTGTGGAGGGCAGTCCTGTGTATCATATGATGTTTAGCAGCATGCCCGGCCTCTCCCAGATACCAGTAAGCCCTCCACCCCCCAAATCCCAGTTTTGACAATCACAAGTGTCTCCAGACATTGCCAAATGCCCCCTGGGGGTGCAAAATCGCCCCTGGTTGAGAATCTCTGGTCTAAACAGAGAGCTGCGGCAGTGTGGAAACTGGCAGGCTCTTTCCATTTGCAAAGGCCTGAAAGGGAGCCATGCTGGGTTCATGGAACATAAGGTATTTACCTGGGCCTTGGATGATAGTAGGCTTTTGCATAGTGGAGGCTGAGGGAAAGCCATCTGCATGGAGGGAATAGTATGCAGCGAAGAGTCCAGAATGTCCAGGGAATAGAGAATAGCAAGCACTGTTGTAGTATAGGATTTTCAAGTGTGGTAATAGGTAAGGCTGGGAAGGTAAGATGAAGTTAGATCATGAAGAATCTTGGGTGCCAGGCTAAGGGGTTTGGCTTTTATATCTATAAATAGTGGGGAATCAGCAAAAGTTTTTGAGTAGGGCAGTTCATATGGGCCTCAGTTTTATCATCTGTAGAATAATTCAACTCCAAAGGTCCTTCCCAGCTCTGAATTTTGTGACTATGTTAATTGTGTGGCTGTGCTCCAATCTGTTTTTTAGGAAAATAATTTAGGTATAATTAGGAGAAAGAAATGTAGGTCAGGGAACCTTGGGTGACCAGTGATCTTCTACTAGGCTAAACTAGACAATGTAAGTGGAAATGGAAGGGAGGGGACAGATATCAAGGGATATTTTGGAGTGAAAAACCAATGTCAAGTGGTGGTGGGGGTAGGGCAAGGAGGGATGGCCAGTGATGCAGAGGGTCCAACCTAGATAACTGGAAGGGTGAGGAACCCAGTGACTGAGGGAGAAACTACAGGGGAAAGGGTAGAGTTGGTGCTAAGCAAACCAATGTGGTCCCTGTGGTTTGGTGAGAGCATCCTTCTGGTCTCTAGCTCTGACGTCCTACAACCAATGAGTTCAATTTTGGGTATGTTGAGTTTGAGATATCTGAGGAACATATGTGTCCAAATATCCAGCAGGACTGTTGGAAATGTGGGTTTGGCAATCAGCAGAGATGTCTGTGCTAGAGTTTGGAGATTTGGGGAACCAGGTTGTAAGACTTTTTAGTCTATATTTGTTAGCATGTATTCTTGTATTCAGGTAAAATGAGGGCATGGTTCTGATAAGTGGCATTGAGCCTTAAGTCTTAAACAAATGACTTTTTTTGTGTGTGCAGGTTTAGAAAGCAACACTGGTATAGAAAGTATATTTGCAAACAAGAAATTAGATGTATACATAGCAATATAATGGATCTTAAAGATGGGTGTTAGTGCTTGGTGAAAAAAAGGAAAGAAACAATGAGACATAACCCAATAGCACTTTAAAAAATTTAAATAATCCTAAATGCCTAATATATTTTTTTGTACAATTCACAAGTTGTGCACATTCACTAAGTAATACAACTACCACTGTCAAATTCCAGAACATTTTCATCACCCCAAAAAGAAATCCCATATTCATTAGCAGTCACTTGCCATTCCCCTCTCTCCAGTCCTGACAACCACTAATCTAACTTTTGTCTCCTGTGGATTTGCCTATTCCGGACATTCCATATAAATGGAATCTTACAGTATGTGGCCTTTTGTGTCTGTCTTTTTTCACTTGGAAAAATGTTTTCAAGGTTCATTGATGTTGTAGCATGCATGTATCAGTACTTCATTCCGTTTTATGGCTGAATAAAATTCTGTTGTATGACCATGCCACATTTTTTTTTTTTTTTTAAAGATTTTATTTATTTAGTTTTTCCCCCCAAAGCCCCAGTAGATAGTTGTATGTCATAGCTGCACATCCTTCTAGTTGCTGCATGTGGGACTCGGCCTCAGGATGGACGGAGAAGTGGTGCCTCGGTGTGCGCCCGGGATCCGAACCCGGGCCACCAGCATCAGAGCGCGCGCACTTAACCACCAAGCCACGGGGCCGGCCCACCATGCCACATTTTGCTTATCCAAATGGATATTTGGTTTGATGGACATTTGGGTTGTTTCCAGTTTTTGGCTATTATGGATAATACTGCTGTGAACATTCATGGACACATTTTTTTTGTAGACGTAAGTTCATTTCTCTTATGTATATACCTAGGAGCAGAATTAAATTAAAATCATAAATTAAAAATAAATACATTCAAAATAATAATCCCATTTTGCAACAATACATACAAACAAATATTACGCGTTAAGCATCTATGACAGGTAGCTAGAATGAAGATAAAAGGGAATAAATAAATAAAACAAAAGAGGGGCTTTGCCATGAAAACGTGCCATGAACTGAAGAATATGATTAATTCAACCTCTGCACCTGAAGTCCAAAAAAAAAAAAAGGAAAAATAGAGCACCTTTTCATTGGAAGTACAATAAAATTGAACTTTCCCAATCCCCAAACTTGTCACAGGGAGCATTAGGGCTTCTTGAATAGTTCTAGAAAAAGCCACAGAATAGATCTCTTGATAATCTCCAAAATTCCTTAAATTTATTATTATCAAAGGATTTTTTCATGATTATAAAAATAGTACATTTCCATTGTGGAGAATTGGAAAAATCAGAAAAATACATGCAAGAAAATGATATCATCTATAATGATTCTACCTTCTATATAACTACAGATAGTGTTTTAGTCTCTAATTTGGTATTTAGTCACTGATTTGTATTTTTTTGTGCAGTCTTATCGTTTTGTGTCTTTGTTTAAAATAATGCTATGTGGATGAAAGAATGCTAAAAGATATTTTAAAGAGTAGTCATAGCACATGAAGCCTAATGTATTAGCAATGTCATAGCTTTCTAGAAATCAACCAAAACTAAAATTCCCCTTTTTCTCTTTAAATTGTATTACAGGAAGAAGCTGCGAAGATCCTGCTGGCTGAATTCAACCTGGGCTGTGACGTACAACACACTGAACATGTGTATAGGGTTTACGTCACGACCTTCCTGGGTTTTGGGGGCAACTTTGCCCGGCAGCGCTATGAAGACCTTGTGCTGAATGAAACTCTTAACAAAAACAGGTACATTTGACATAGGAATCTGTGTTTCTGAAATAGTGTGTCATCAGGGTGCAGATATCAGGAAGAAATATTTACATCCTACTAAGATAGATACAACCTGACTTCTTCCTCCTTCCTGACCATGCCTGCCATTGGGGTAATATCTCTTAGAGACTCTCTCTTAGTAGGCCCACTTGATCTGGGTTAGGGTGCATCTTTGTTATCAAGATTCACAAAAAAAATCAGCTTATTGTAGCGACCTCTTGCCATGTCCCACCTCGGACATGGTATACAGGATAAGTGAGATTGAGTCACTGATTTTAAATGTACAGTGTCATGTGGCTCCTAGCAATTCCTTCTACATGGAAGCGCTCAAGACGTGTTTGCTGAATTACAGTGGAGTTGTATTTTATGTGGAGTTAGGTTTCATGGTGTGCATAAAAGATAAAAAGCATGTGTAGTCAAAATTAACCTTTAAATTGTTCTCTCGTTAAGTCCAGAACAGCTAGTTTTTCCTCCAGCATGGACAGATTGGTGGTTCTTCATTTGAGTACCAGAGGAAGTACTTAGGGCATAATGTACAAACAGTTGTGGGGGTTTTTTAGTATTTAAAATGATTTTATCATTATACACATTGAAAGAAAGCATAATAGACAGCAGAGTTCTTTAACACCATAACATTATTTACCCCCATTTGTTTAGCTAGAAACACTAGTTTGACAAGGTACTGGTATATCCCATTTGTAATAATTTCTCTACAGCAATTGTCTTATATTGGGAGCATGTTAAAGAAAATACTGTTTCATAAGTCTTTTGTTTTTGTAAGTCTCAACTGCTGAGAGTTCAGGGTGCTTTGGGAGAATCCTGTTATCCCGGATGACTGATGAATGCATTAAAATCAAGCAGTGTGTTTGTATTCTGAAAATACTCTTAAATCCATACAAATGCTGCTTGGGTTGTGGAGCTCAGATCACTCCTGCTGGCACAGTGACATCTGAGGAACAGTTATTCTGAAAGTTTCACACTTTGTTTTGTTCCTTCTTCATTAGCCATTGTGCTTCCTATTCCATTTTCTTCCTTGATTGTTCTGCTGCTCTTTTTTCTCTGTCTGCTGTTCTCTGCTGTCTCAGAACTTGCCAGGCTGCACCATCTTCTTCCCATGCATTGGTGTTTTCTCACCATGTATCTAAGTCACCGGATTCAGTAGATTATTCATCTTGTGTGGCTGCTAATCTACTAGAGAAACCTCTGCTTCCTAGGAGGTCAAAACTTCATGGTTCTCTCTTCTTAAGAACAATTTTCTGAATTTTCCTTATAGTTGGTGTCACATCCTTAAAATAGGTTCCAGTTGTCCAAAGCATTTTGTTGTGTTGCCACATTCCCATTCCCTCCTTTAGTCTTTACACTTGTGGGTGCATTTTCATTCTAGGAAGTGTACTCTTCAACATCTATCTGTTGAGGAACTGATGAATAATTAGCTGCAATTGGCAAAGTTATTTGGTCTCCACTTAATTTCCGTCCTTGGCCAGATCTGCATATTAATCTCTTTAGGTATGAGAATACTGTTGCTGGGCAAGTACAGACTTTAGCCAGGACTGTGTGATGGCCGTGGTGGGAATCAAACTCTGCCCCTGCCCTTCCCACTCAGAGGCAGGCATGTGCTCTGTCACTATTGCCAGCCATTGCCACTGCACCACTGCCATGGTCCCCTCCTCAGGAAGCTCCTCTGGCCCTTCCCACTGTGCCTCCTACCAGTTGTTTTTTCAAACATTAGAACTACACTCAGATGGTGAGATTTTGGACTTTTAAGAGGCAAGTGGGAATGAAGACCTGATGGAGAATAGCAGATTCCCATCTCCAATTTCACCATATACTGGGAAATATACTGTTGACTAAAAGGTTGAACAAAATTGATCACTGCCATATTTGTCCTTTTTTCTTTTTTGCTAAATTGAATTTGCTTAAGTTAAATGTTTATGTGATGCTACTACATGGTGATACTCCATCCTTGTTTCTAGGGATGTTGTGTAAAACAATAACTAGATACCTGTGACACACATTCTTAGACCAGGTTTCTAAACTAGGCGTTTCTTAGAGTAGGTTGAGTCAGTAGTGATGTGTTTTGTTTGTTTTTGTCATTGTAACAGGTTGCTGGGCCAGAAGACAGGTCTGAGTCCCGACAACCCATTTCTGGATCCCTGCCTGCCTGTGGGCCTCACAGATGTGGTGGAGAGGAACAGCCAGGTGCTGCATGTCCGAGGAAAAGGAGACTGGGCGACTTGTGGGGCAATGCTGAGCCCCCTGCTGGCTCGCTCCAACACCAGCCAGGCCTCACTGAATGGCATCTACCAATCGCCAATTGACTTCAACAACAGCGAGTTCTATGGTTTCTCTGAATTTTTTTACTGTACAGAGGATGTGTTGCGCATTGGTGGCCGCTACCATGGGCCAACATTTGCCAAGGCTGCTCAGGTAAATTATTAATGATAAAGATGACTCTTGCTAGTGGCAGCCACTTATTAGATGCCTAACTTGTGCCAGGCACTGTGCAAAGAGCTCTGCATGTGTGATCTCACATTATGCTTCACAGGAGACCTATGAGCCCCCATTTTATGGATGAGGAAGTAGACTTAGAGAAGTTAAGGAACCTGCTGTGCCATGCTACTTTCTAATTAATTATGCGTGGGTTTCCATGGGTGTCCTATCACCCGAATTATCACGCAGGTCTAAAATTGTTGTGGTGGCTAATGGTTTCTCCTCCAACTTCCCAATAGTCTTGTTGAATGTTTGTGGCCAGAAAGTGTCATCTCCAGAGATTTTTCCCCTTATTGGGTGTTCCCAGTTATAATGTGCTGTTGGCGATGATGTCACACAGATGGGCAAGTCCACCTTCATCTTCGTGGTTTGAGCTATTAAGAAGCCAGAGAGGTAGAGGTCACTAAGAATATTAGAAAGATGTTGTGAAAGCAGTGATGGTAGAAGTATCATTTAAATTTAAAATGCAGAAGAAGTAAAATTCACTTTGAGTATATATAGGACTTAAGCATCTATAGGCTCAAATCATTAGTTACCTGAACAGGTAAAAGTTTTAGCTAGCTTTCCATAGTTCTTGCTTTAATTTAGATTCTTCTCTTTGAATTTTTCTCTCTCTCTCTGACTGTCTCTCTCTCTTTTTTTTTATTTTTGTGAGGAAGATCAGCCCTGAGCTAACATCCATGCCAATCCTCCTCTTTTTGCTGAGGAAGACCGGCCCTGAGCTAACATCTATTGCCAATCCTCCTCCTTTTTTTTTTCCCTTTTTCTCCCCAAAGCCCCCGTAGATAGTTCTATGTCATAGTTGCATATCCTTCTAGTCGCTGTATGTGGGATGCTGCCTCAGCATGGCCGGACAAGTGGTGCGTCGGTGCGCGCCCAGGATCCGAACCTGGGCCGCCAGTAGCAGAGCGCGCGCACTTAACCGCTAAGCCACGGGGCCGGCCCCCTCTGACTGTCTCTTTTATCAGAGAAACTTATGGGAAGAATCTGTTCTCTCCTATATTTTTTATTCTTTCCTTTCTGCTTTCTTACAACTTGCTAGGGTTCTCTTGGTGTAAGACTTCCAACAGAATAATATCTACAGTATGTGTACCATTCTGTTCTCTAAAGGCAGTCCCTAAGAAATATTGAGGAAAACCTGGTTTGTATTTGTTCTTTCCTCTCCAGCCTCCAGGAAAACACTCATGTTCCCTTTGCTTTCCAGTGTCCAGGGATCCCTAACTATTCATGGCCTGACCCTTTCTCTCATTTTAAAACTTCTTCAGATTCTATTCCCTTGAACACCAAAGGGCTCAAGTATTGTTGCCCAAGTTGCTAGTGGCTTAATATGTTTTCTTTCCCAGGTAAAAGTGATGCTTTTATTCCCTTACTTTTTTTACTTTGACTCAAATATCATCTTCTCAGTGACACCTTCCCTGGCCACCCTATCCAAAATTGCAGGCTTCTCCAATATTACCTTTCCCTTTACTGCTTTATTTTTCCCATGAATTTATGTCATCTAACACACTCTATATATGTGTGTATGTATGTATGTGTACATGTATATATATTTGGTTATTGTCCATCTCCCACCACTAGAATGTAGGCTTTATGGAAAATGAAGAAATTTTTGTCTGTTTTATTCACTGCTGGATCCCTCTGGCACCTAAAATAGCACCTGGCACATAGTAGACATTCAGGAAATGTTAGTTTACTGAACAAACCAAAGGGGATGAATCCTTTGGTGAGACTTACAACACAGAGGCAGGCCAGTGATAGATTTTTGACCATTTTGTTCCATTTGCTTTTCTGTTCCATTGTGTCAGTCCCGTGTGTGGTAGAATGAAGCTGTCTTTGGCTTTTGATTTTGCTACACTTGGTCCTGACCTACCCGTCTCTGAAACCTAAGAGGCTCAGGAGCCACGTCAGGCAGGCTTTATACTGGACGTGGAGGCAATAGGATTAAAAAGGAGTATTCCCAGGCCACTCAATTCACCCAGCAGCCTGAGTTCTGGGACTTGTGTTTCACAGGACCTGGCACTGTCTTCAGTAAACAAATATGCCATTTCTGTTTTCCTTTGTCAACTAGTAGCCCACAGGTAACTTGAGAAAAATGGAACAGCTATGACTGTGGGGGAAGGTATAGAGTTTGCCTCCAATTTCATATTGCACCATTTCTCTGTGGTTGTTCTAGGATTACTGTGGCATGGCTTGGTCAGTACTCACTCAGAGATTCAAGAATGGCCTCTTTTCATCACATGCAGATGAGCACCGACTCAAGTACGTAACTTCCTTTTCCCCCTTAGATGTGTCCTTAAAATGTAGACAGCAGATTATAATGAAGGAGAGAGAGCAAGCAATAGTACAGATTAGATTTTATGCTGAAGGAGAATTTTATTATTTCAGATTTTGATTTTCTGAGGGATGGGGGCCCAAATAGTGAGCCTATTTTAGCAAAGCCAAGGGAAAGCAGTGGTTACCAAAGAGTTCTCTCCAAGTGGTTGAAATCGAAAGTGGTGGTCTTTTTTTTAACTTTTTATTAAAATATCAAACGTGCAGAAAAGTAGAAAGAACAGTAACATAAACTCTCACGTAACTATCACCCAGCTTCTACAAATATCAATATTTTGCCAGTTTGATTCATTGGTCCTCCTATTTTGTAAACGTTTTAGTTTAAAAAAATTTTAAACATAAACAAAAACAGAACAATATAATGAGCTCCTGCGTACCTATCACCCAGCTTCTCTGCTGTTATCAACTCCTGGCCAACCTTGTTTCATCTTTTCCCTCCCTACTACTCCCCTCTTAACACAATCGGGTTATTTTGAAGCGAATCCCAGACATCATGTAATTTCATTTGTAGATATTTCAGCATGGTCTCTGAAGATAAAGACTCTTAAAAAGCAAAAGGAAAGAAAAACAGTCACAATATCATTATTGCATAAACCTGTTCTTCAAGGTTGTGGTAAACATTAAGATCAAGTAGGCTCAGATTTGGCTCCACCTAGAGGTGAGGAAGGTGAAGCAGGGAGAGACAGGTCTTTTTTGATCCGGTGGGAGTACACAGAAAGCATTAGAATCCTTTTTTTCTTTAAAAAATTTAATAATTTATTTTTTGTCACACAGATATCAGTGTTTTAAATCAGCTTGGATGTACCAAGTCCTTCATGAAGGATTCCACTTTCCCTATGACTATCCAAACCTGCAGACAGCCCAGCTGGTATATGACCGAGAGGTTCAGTGGACGCTGGGAGCCATTCTGTATAAAACACGATTCTTACCACTCAGGTAAAGTGGACTGACCAAGCTGGCATCTTGGGCTCAGGGGATGTTAGTTGGTGCCTCAGAATAGGTTTTTTAAGTGACAGCCCCCCCCGCCCCCAAACACCCAAACTCCCGTTATTACTGACATGTGAACTACTACTACTAACCAGGGACGTTGAAACAGAAAGAAGGTTGAGAATTATTAGTCTGGAATCTGTTCTTCAGCTTTGCAATTTCAGGAATTCAGTTTTATTTGTTTATCCACAACAAATCAGTTTTTAGGATTGAGCTCTTACTAACCATTTTCAAGATATTGACTGATAAACTGAAATGTCACTCTTAAGTTACTCTGGAAAACATACCTGACTAGAGAACTGGGGTAGGTTGTCTCTACAGAGCAGTCGTTCCTAACAGGTAGAGTCACTCTAGAGACGGCATCCTTGCCTTGGACGGCTTTTTGGTGGGCCAGAATTAGAACAAAGGACGCAAGATGCTTTTAGCGGGATGTTTTCATCAAGCTGTGGTAGCCTGATGTCTTGCTCTTATGGACCATAAGATATTTGGGATAATTTTTAGGTACTGTCTCTCCTGGATTATTTCAGATAAACTAAGAAGAGTTCTTAATGTTTGATGCCTGTTTCTCTAAACTCAATACTGTCAGAAGCCAGGGAGGTGATAGAAGTGAGAGAAGGGAACTGGAGAGTATGTGCCCCAAAAGAAGGGCTGATTACTGTCATACAGAAGTGCTGTCCTAGCGTCTGCCAGTTCTCATTTGTAAGAGAAGCCAGAAATCCATATTTTATAAGCAATCTTTGAGTTTGGAGATTCACATTTTTAAAAAACACTGCAGGTCGAACAAAACGAAAATGGATCTGGTATCTGGACCATCAGAGAGGGGCTTCTGTTCTAGATAGGACACCACTGCACTTTGGTTTACATGGCTCTTAATTTTTTTCCAGATTATAATACAATTGATCAGGTGACAGCTTTCTTTAGATATATCCTAAATCCCCAGGAAGCACAGCAACTTTTTTTAAGATTTAGATATACATTACTCTGATTTCTTGATTGAATTTCTGGTACTATTCTCATTAGTACCATATTTACAGACTCTATAGGCCAGAGTGGAATGGGGTCGCTGTTAAGACTTATGTTGCAGATGATCAGTCTTGTCTTACTGTTCGTTTTTTTGGCTTCTGATTTTGTGCCCAGATTCTGAAGGATATAGGCATGTGGCTCCCTCGGTAGGCCGTGGAAAGGAAGGTACAGGAGGAAACACACGGCAGCCCGGGCCCTGAGGGTGTTCTTCAGCTGTGCTTGCTCTGTGGAGCTATCATCATAGCATGTTTGCATGGATGGAATAATTAGGATAACACGACTGGGCCTTTAAAATTAGCATGAATGTTTCTCTCTGAAACTAACATTTCTTTCCTCCTTCAAACTCTTCCTAGGGATCTACGGCAGGAAGGTGTCCGACAGGCCCATGGTAGCTGGTTCCGTCTCTCCTTTGTCTACAACCACTATCTCTTCTTCGCCTGCATCCTGGTGGTGCTACTGGCCATCATCCTGTACCTTTTGCGGCTACGCCGAATTCACCACCGACAAACTCGAGCTTCAGCTCCATTGGACATGCTGTGGATCGAAGAGGTGGTGCCCATGATGGGGGTACAGGTGGGCCCGTGAGGCCAGACAAGGACTAGGCAAGCTCGAGTACTCCAGAGTCGCAGCTCATTAAATTCCACCACTTTCTTGTACTGGCCTCAGATGCTGCTTTGCCTAACCGTGTGGATATTTGGCCCTGGAATTTCTACTTTAATTCCTTCTCAATGTCCAGGTCCTCTTCTCTGAGAGAAGCTGTAATTTAGTCTGTGAAGAATTAAATAATGAGAGATTGGTGCTAACAAAGGGGACCAACCTTAGTCCAATTGAAGCATGCTTCTCCTTTATCTGAGAGGTCTGGTGTGTTCCTGGGATCTAGACTTTTCTCTCCTTGCTAAAGCATGAAGTTTGGCATTGGGCACATTGGAAGCCTGGTTAAAACCAAACTTACAGCATCTGATACAAAGCTGAAGACATTCTAGCAAGTGCAGCAGCCGCTTCTTTCTCTGTAACAGAGAGATCATTTATGTGGAGATCCACAGCCTTTAATAGGAATCCCAAATCTTTGCAGTTCAGTGGAACAGATGAATTTCCAGGCAACCAAAATAACACAACTTCCTTGCTTACTTGACAAAGAAGCCATTTTGAGTGTGGTCCAAGATCCCTGATGTTAGCTTGTGATTTTAAAAGGTTAGAACCTCTTCTAAATTAATGGTCCATTGAAGATTTTGACATTATCTTATCTGATGCCTGGTATGACCAGGATAGAAAATTTTTCCATGTCTATGTGCCTCACAGGCTATTTGGGCATTAATTTTACTTTTTGAGCCTTAAGTGTGCTTGTAGGATGGAGAAACTGTAATGGGGATTGGAGACCTGAATTTGTCTAGTTTCAGGTCACTATCCTCTAGGCCTATTTTTATGAGCCCTTAGGCAGGAAGATTCAAAAAGAGTTCCTTTATTTCACTGCCAAGATCAATATGTAGTTTTGGAAAGGATGTATTTGAGTTGTTTTTTAAGAAGGGAAGAATAATATCAGGAGAGTGGGCAAAGGCAATAAAATCCAAGCTCTTATTTATCAATGTTTTTCTGAGAAATATAAATTTTCTCAATTTTATGTCTGAAAAAAAACCAAATTCTAAACTTGGGAATAAATAGATAAATCTGTTAATAAGCCACCTGGCAACTTTCAGAACCTTTGTTAAGAGATTGCTCAGTTAAACAGCATTTCCATTAATGAGGAGAGAGGAAAAGCCATAATAATTACATTTTCCTCTACTACCCTTCAGGAGCTTTGCTTCTCCTCTACATTTAGCCTTTAAATTGCATGAGGATTTCCTTTTCATCAACTCCTGCCTTCCCCCATGGAGTCTTCTTTATACTTTACCCTTTCCTATATGTAGCCTTGAATGTCCTGCCCAAGCAAATGCTCCCAGGGTTGAAGTAGCTTTCTTTTCTTTTATGTCACCTTTGATTTCTAGAATTAGATGAGTAGGGAAAAAGGTCCCTGACTTTAAAGGAAAAAAAGTGGAATTCTTAAAAAATAAATCTCATACTGGGGGTGGAAAAGAATGAAATGCTTCACAAAACAGAGAAAAGGAAGTCAAGATCCTCCTAAAAATAAACTGAGAGGAAAATAAGTATACTGATGTTTGGTTGGTAGGTGAAAAGATGGCAAGTCTTGAACTGTTTTCAAGTTAGATAAAAATGGATCTAGCAAAGAGTCTTATAGTTTTCTTTGGAAATATTTTTTTACTTTTCATTAGGGCTCATGTCACAGCAATTTCCTTTAGTTTTTAAGACTTCTAAATTGCCTTTTCTTTGACTTCTTATTGTCTTTGTCACTGTGAGTGAGCCCTCGACTTTATGAATGCTGCTTTTAAATAATGTCAAAGTGTGTTTTTGCTAGCCATTGCTTACTCAGGTAACTCTTTTCCCTTCACCTGGGTTTCCAAATACTATTTTTGGTTTTCTTGTGAGATCTAGTCAAAAGCTACCTGATTGGCTAACAGTGATCACATTCGTGTGCTCAAAATGAAGTTGAAGTGGAAAGGAGGTAGTGTATAGTCCAGTTTGAAAGCTCTTTTTAGTAAAATTATTCTTCATCCTGGTTATAATAATAGCTACTATTTGTTAAGCACTTATTATGTACTAGACACTCTGTTAAGAACTGTATGTATATTATTTAATCATTATGACAGCCTTTCAGATTGATGTTATGTGTTCTTTTTATAGTTGAGAAACTCAGGATACCTATGTTTATCACTTTTTTCAATATAAATGTATTTCTTATTCTTTATTATAGTCTTTGAGTTTTTGTTTAGTGTGTTATATCCTGTTTATTATTTTAATATTATAGGATCTAGGCTTGTCTTTATTACATGAGTAAGATTTTTCAGAGTTCCATGGTATAAAAGTCAGAAGGAAAAATTTTTATCATACCCCTCAGAAAAACTGAATATTTGCTCTTGGTATTGGTTCCTGTGCTTTTTCCAATGCTCCTAATTAATAGATTTTAAATGAAATGTCATTAGCTAGAACAGAAGCCATTTATTCCTTGCTGAGAGCCAATTACTTAAATATATTGCTTTCTCATAATGAAATACTCTTGCTGATAGAATCAGACAGTCTGTCTTGCCTTTAACCCGTTTTTAGCCCTCAGTTTTTAAAGATTTTTTAAAGATTTCTGTTTACATTTCTGCATTTTGAGTGGTTTCCCCTATGAAGATAATTATGGTTTCATAAAATTCACATTCCGCTGGTTCCTTTGAATCTTACCAGCTAGTCTTCTTGAAAGGATAACAGCAACCATGAACCTGAACTGTTCTAGTACTTTTGTTATTACTGAGACAGGTCACAAATGTCAAAGTCAGAGTCAGTGGCTTATAGGAGTGATGTTTTATTAGTCCTATGTTGGTACAACCCATCACTTTTGTCTGAAATTTTTGTCACTAGAACGTAATGAAAATATGTATAATACCTAATTATATGGCATTACGTTCACTTAAGTTGCAGTAAACTCTAAGCCAAATTATACCGTCTTTCTCTCTGTGCCTGAGCTCCTTGATTTTCCTTGGTCTAGGAAATTTTCGTTTTCCTTTTTTTTTTTTTTTTTTTGTGAGGAAGTTTGGCCCTGAGCTAACATCTGTTGCCAATCTTCCTCTTTTTGCTGAGGAAGATTGGCCCTGGGCTAACATCCATGCCCATCTTCCTCTTTTGTATATGGGATGCCGCCCCATCATGGCTTGATGAGCAGTGTATAGGTCCACACCCAGGATCCGAACCTGCGAACCCTGGGCCACCAAAGCGGAGCGCATGAACTTAACAACTATGCCACAGGGCCGGCCCCATGGTCTAGGAAATTTTAATCACTTTCTACCAACCTTGTGTTTATTCCTCTAACGTCATCCAAAGTATTCTGCCTCTCCCCTCCTCAGCCTAAGAGCTTCCTTTAACTTCAAAGGCTTTAGGCAGTGATTATTGAAATGTGGTTGAATGCAAGTCTGCCATGCACTTGTGAAGCTAGTCTTTTTAGGCATTAACATTTATTATCACACCCATATTTACATTTTTGAAATAAATAACTTACATTTCTCACTGGTGTTATCTAAATAGATGCCCCTCCTCATCACCCCTATTCTCATAGTTTTGTGTTTTGCTTTTTGTCAGGAGTGAAAGACAATGGGTGGTATGATTTAGGGGAAAGAACACTGGACTTACCAACAGCAGACTTGGATTCTAGTCTTGGCTTTGTCATTATATAGCTCTGGTATGCCAGGCAAGTAGCTTGCCTTCTCTGGTTCATTTCCCATCTATAAAACAAGGTGGCTAGACAAGATGATCTGAGGCCAGTCCCAAAGGAAGAATCACTAGCCTAAGGAAGTAAAGGCAGGAAAAAAGATAGAAAAGTGATATAGTTTCAGGAAGAGGATTTTGGCCTCTGGTTTAGAAGACCAGGCTGCCCAAAAGACCCAGCAGTCACCTCCTGCTTTATCCATAGTCCCTGACATTAAGGTCGATGGGAATGGAGTTTATGACAGCCATCATTATACGTAAAGTTCAGAAGTTGAGATTTTTAAAGCTGGGATTTTAGAGGTCTTCTGGTTGACCCACTAGATTTTATGGATGATGAAATGAGGCCCAGAGTGGTAATAATATGTGCAAAGTCACAGTGAGTGGCTTCCTGGATCCAGGTTTCTCTGTTCTCTGTACCACAGACACACACACCACTTTGACAGCTAACAATGAAATGCTCATTGACAGAATCTTCCTGCAAGATTGTGTATTTCAACAGAATCTATTCTTTATAATACAGCTGGCTGCAACTAACCATGCCCAAGCTTTATAACTGCTTCTGATATTCATTTGTGATTGCTTTGCTCACATTTAGGAATAAAATATGAAAGGAATAACTTTGTTAGAAATAGTACCAAGTTTTCACTACATCTATTCTAGCTTCTGTATTTAATATTTTAAAATTTTAGATGTCTCTTTAAAAAATTTGCTTAATTTTGTACAATTTTAATCACAGTATCCAAACAATTCATGTGATGGTTACAATCTAAATTATTTAAGGTATAAATGCCTATTAGATCTACCTCATTAAGGAACTTGGTTGTAATTCTTGGGCAGTTCCCAGACTTCCTTACTGAAACAGAGTGCTGTTTCTTTTTGTCTTTAAACTTCTTTTCAGACTCATTCAGAACTAGTATCTAATTTCCCTTTTTGCTGTGGTGATATAACTTCAATGGGGATTAAGAACTAAGGTAGAAGTAGCAGTGAATGTTTTAAATTCTCCCATGTTAGTCTCCTAGGTGATACTAGTTTGAGAGTCCGGCTGCTTTCAGTTCTGCCACTAGGGCCATACGCTTCTGTCAAACTTGAGGATTTTGTTGGTGTTACAAAAAATATTTCTGTTAAAAAGACTAGGACTCTTCTTTTATATTCTAATAGGCTTCCCTTGTATTATTACACAAGTATTTCCCTCTTGCCCTAATATTTCATTATTTTTTAGTTTGTCAGTACCGTTATTACAGGGACAGAGGAGGAATAAAAAATCCATTGATCATTTTGTCTCTCTGAAAGTCTGAGCAATAAGGAGATCCTTTTATTTGTAAAATTGAATCATTACTCATACTATAAGGGCTTTCTACTTTTAAAATGTATTCAATCGTTGCTTTCCATTTTTTATAAAAGCCAAAGTTGAAGAAAATTTGTGACTCATAGGATGTTTATAGCCATGCATGCCTGATTTCAGGCAAGCCTGAAGACATGTCTGCTCCTGAGCCTCCCTTTTAAAGTAGTGCAGCCACTCGTATACCCTCTGGCAGCCTACGACTCCTCCACCACCACTCCACTTCTCCAGTGTAAGGCAGCCCTGATATTTTCCTCAGCAGCCCTTGCCAGAGTTTGGCCTGTGAGGACTGCTGGTGGTGGAGGCTCTGCCCCTTAGCTTTACAGAAGTCTTTCTCTGCAAGCAAAGATCCCAGACAAATACTTTTATTTCTGTCATTATGTTGTGTTTGAAATTCTCATTCCACAATTGCCCTTTACTTGAAGCCCTGAAGGATAAGCCTTGTCTCCTCCGTTATTTCTGCCTTGAGTGATGGACTCTACAGTGTGTTGAAAGGCATCTTTTTATTATGATCCACAACTAGACACTCCCTTGGTTTAAAAACCAAAGGCTGCCCTGTAATGTATCACTTTCAGGGGTCGCTAAGATAATGTTTTTCTAATGCTTCACACTAAATAATTTTGCTGAACAGTTCTTAAAATTCTCATTGATAAATACTGTTAAATACTGTTGAACAAAATGTACAATGCGTATTAGATAGGGGATGCATTCTCCCTTATGCATGGACATGGGTATATGTGTTACATATGCCAATATATAACCCACCATTCATTCCAGAACCAGCAGGATTGCTGCAGATAAACTGGTTATCCTAATATGATCATCAGGGTTGGTCTTTGCAACCAGCATCATTTTAGGCAGTAGCTAATCGTTACCCCTGCCATAGTGGACAGCATTTTTCAGTGTAAGTTAAAGACAAAAAAATTCTGGGTTAAGAAAGCCAGGTGTTTTATTTCCTTTATGTTTTCAACTGACAGAATTGTTGAGAGACCTTTGAAAATATTAAGGGAAATTCATTTAATCTTTTAGGTATTGATGACTTATTTTGAAAGAGGTGTCTGGGACATCAGTCTGTAATCACCCATTTTCCATTAATTCATGCAATATTTGGAATGTGTCTGGTGCTGAGAATAATGCAAACATAAAAATAATTCAGATAAGCTCCATTCACCTCAGCTCATAGATAGGCATAATACAGTTAAATAGCTAAATGTAACCAGATGTTTTTCCAAACTTAATATCTTTAAAAAAAGAAAAATGAAGTAAGATATCTGAAACTTGAACTTATTTTGTTCATTTGTTGCTACTTGGAGAGAAGTGTAGAAACAGCGTATAATTCTTTGGTTGAATTGGACTGCCCTCTGCTGACTCAGTGATCAGGGACAACCTCAGTTTGGGGATCAGGAGATGATGATACAAGGACCTGCCCCAGTGACTGCAGTTCCCTTTCTTGCAATAATTCTGTTCCCTTTCTTGCAATAATTCTATCTAGAAGAGGTCATATCCAATTACCATACTAACAGCATCAACACAGCAGATTAATGAGATAGGATGGGTTGGAAATTCAGAGGGAATGGGAATCAGCTGGTCAAAATTTTCTAAGGTAACTAGGCTATTAGGGCCTAAGCCAGTGGTTCCCAATCTTGTCTGCACATTGGAATCACCTGTGGAACTTAGACAATGTGCCTACTACTGCTTCCAAAGATTGTGAATGAACTGGTGTTGTGTGAGGCTTGGGATTTAGGATTTTTAAAGATTCTAATGTGAGAGAAGTTGGGAACCACTTCTAACCACAGCCTAAGCCCCAGGGTCCAGGACTTTTTAAAAAGCAAAAACAGTCTGTCTACTTCCGTTTCACTAAGAACCACTTGAGAATGGTACACTGTAGCTCACACTGAAACTCACAGAATATTGAAGCTGAAAGGGAACTGAGATCATCCAGTCCAGAGATTATAAATGGGCAAAGCTAAGGTCATTAATGGCTCCCAGATGTGTTCAGTCTGCATAATGTTCTAAAACACTTGAAATTAGTTGCCAACACTTGAGAGCTTGCACACAAAAATCTAGATGTTTGGCTTCTTTAAAAAATCAGATCTGACAACCCTGGACCTGCAAAGCAGCAACAGGCCAGAGCCCAGCAGCAGTTTAGCCCTTTAGCTGGGTCTCCTGATCTCCAGTTTGCCACTGTCTCCACCACCCTGACCCTAGTGAGCATTTGATTTGGTCCAACTTACTCTTGCCTTATACAAAATTAAAAACTAGCTTCCTGCAACTTTCACCCATTGCTGCCAGCTGTGCAGCACAAAGGAAGCTCATTCCTTCTGCACGAGAGGGCTTCAACTTCTCAAGGACAGGAATTTTGCTCTCTTTCCAAATCTTCTCCTTCAGCTAAATACCCCTAGCTCCTTCAAGTATTCCCTGTGTGACATGGGTTCCGGACTCCTCACCATCCTGGTCCCTTCCTCTGGATACATACTCTGTGGTCAATGTTCTCCCTAAATTTGGTACCCAGAGTGAAATGCAGCACTTGTACTGAGGTATTCTGACTATGGCTGTGACAATTCTATTGATAAAATCTGAAACACCACTAATTTTTATCAGTGTTATCACATTGTTGGCTCATGTTGAGCTTGTGGCCAACTGAAATCCCTAAGTCTTTTTTATACGAAATGATATGAAGCCAGGTTTCTCCACCCCAAACTTACACAATCTATTTACTTCAAATGAGGATGTTACATTTATAATCTGTTTAATTTCATCTTGATGGTGTCACTCTGGAACTGTTTTGAGTTGTGACTGTCATCTCTTATATTAGCAATATTGGGTTGCTCCATCCTCAAATCTGATCTTTCTGATGACTTCATCCAAATTACTGATTTAAAAAATAAAGTTGAATAAGACAAAGCCCTGTGAAATATCAAGACTAAAATCACACCAATTCATTCATCAACAATTTGTTTAAATATCTGAATAGATTCCATGTACTACACCCTCAAGGCCATATTCTTCTTATCCATGAGGCTGTTAGGAAACCCTTTCAGGAACTCATTTATATGATCTATTGCATCACCTGACCTAGTGATGTAACAGCACTATCAAAAGAGGAACTAGGTTAGTGCTTGATGAATCCAAGTGGGTTACGAGTGATTACCTCCTTTTCTATGTCCTTACAAACTGTTTTGCTGCATATAGACATTAAGTTTGTCAAAATCTACCCTTTCCCCATTTTTAAAAATCAGGATTCTAGAAGATATAGCTATTTCTTGCTGAAGGCTACCTGGCTACTTTAGGGTATTTCCAATCATTCCCTTTGAATCTTCACCTGATGGAAGTGAAGTTGAGATCATAAAGAATTTCTACTTGGGCAGAATTCAGGACTCAGGAGGTCAAGGAGACAGAAATCATGTATGTAGCACCAAGAGCTTGCCAACATTAAGAAACCCGAGGCAGAGCCTATTAAGGAGCAGCAATGGCAGACGTTTCTTTTTCTACATTAAACCTGATTTCCAACCTGAAAAGGAACCTTTAGTGTAACCATATTGACATTCTTGATCCAGTGACTGTCTCAGAAACAGGCAAAGAATTTTAAATAACTTGACCAATTTGGAAACCGCTTGGTATGCCAAGGTCATCCTCTTAGAAAAGCCCAGTTCTTATACTCTCTGATGAGCTCTCAAAAGCACAGTTTCAGTCCTAGAAAGCTGATCCTCTGAGAATTATTTTGGAACTCTTCGGAGTTCGTTCATGAGCCAAAGGGCAACACTGAGCAGAGCCAGGGAGCCTGACTGGTGAGCGGCAGCCAAAACAGTCGGGACGTACATCAGCAGAGTGCTAATGCCCAGGCCCACCTGTTACAAAGGAAAGAAAGCAGTAAGCAAAGCAGGAACCACAAACTGAGAGCCGAAATGACTGGACATGGACAACCAGGTACACAAAGTTCCACATTCTCCCATCAGAACATTAAAAATATACATATTTTTTAAATTTCACAGGTAAATATACTCACAATGAAGGAAATTCAAACAAAATAAATAAACCTAAAATTCCCCTTTATCCTTCACCCTAGCTCAGTTCCGCTTCCCAAAGGTAGCCACTGTTACCAGTTTCTACACATTTGTACTTCTGTATATATGTTTATAGAGGAACACACAGTTTTGTGCTTTCAAAAAATATATTGTTCTGTCACTTGCTTTTTTTCACTAAACAATATACGTCTTGAGATATTATTTTAAACTGCTGTACAGTATTCCACACTGTGGATCTATCATAGTTGTTTAACTATTTAGGTTGTTTCCAATTTTTCACTATCACAGCAATTCTACAATGAATTTCCTCGTAGAAAGGTCTTTGTGCATCAGAGTACTTCTAGGGCAGGATTAATAAGTCAATTTGCTGGACCAAACGACTTAACATTCAACATTTTAAAAGATACTGCCAAACTGCCCTCTAAAAAAAGCTATATCAACTCATACTCTCTCCAATATATGAAGATATCCATTTTCCTATACCCATGCCAATATCTGATTATCTTTTTTTGTCCATTTTTTTCCAATCTGACCAGCACAAAACAGCACGTATTGTTTTAATTTGCTCCTGTCTGATCACGAGCGAGGCTAAACAGCTTTTACTATTTATTAGCCATTCATCATTCCTCTTGTAAGAAGCGTGTATTGATATCCTTTACTTATTTGATTTCCTGGTTATTAATCTTTTAGTCTATTATAAATATTGAAAATATTTTCTCTTAGCCTGTCACCTTTCTTTTTTTTTTTTTGGTTTTTTTTTTCCCCCTTTCTCCCCAAAGCCCCAGTAGATAGTTGTACATCGTAGTTGCACATCCCTCTAGTTGCTGCATGTGGGACGTCGCCTCAGCATGGCCAGACAAGCGGTGCATCGGTGCGTGCCCGGGATCCGAACCCAGGCCACCAGTAGTGGAGCGCGTGCACTTAACCGCTAAGCCATGGGGCTGGCCCCTCAGCTTTCTTTTTTAACTTCGTTTTGGGGATACCCTCAGACAGAAAGAAGTGGTTTATACCTGTGTGTATGCCAAAGCTAACAGAGTCGCTGCTGCCACCTTGGTCCTTGGAGGAAGGGGAATTCTCCGGGAGAGGAAGTAGAGCGCTGTAACGGCAGTAACTGAAGTGATTCCCTGTAGGGAGGAAAGAGCCTCATCAAGTGCCAGGGAGAAACGTCCCACTGCCTGGTTTCTGCTCACCTTACATGTATCTCCTTCAGAACCACCGAGTAGCCACTAAGCACTTCCCTGTCCCAGGCACAGAGAACCACCTGCAGTTTTGCCTCTGATTACTCCTCCTCAGTCTCTTCCACGCTCCTCTTCTGCTTGCCACTTAAATGGCAGCGTTCTCCAAGGCTCCGGCTACAGTTTCTTCACGAATCACTTTATATACACTTACTCTCTCTCCGTGATCTTATCCACCTTCCAAAGTGGGTGTCCCCCAGGTGTGGTCCTCACTTTGTATTCTTCTCATTTTTATCACTAATTTTATCTCTACTCTAATCCTGCATATTTTTTAACAGTTTTTTATTTATTTATTTTTTTGTGAGGAAGATCAGCCCTGAGCTAACATCATGCTAATCTTCCTCTTTTTGCTGAGGAAGACTGGCTCTGAGCTAACATCTATTGCCAATCCTCCTCCTTTTTTTTTTTTCCCCAAAGCCCCAGTAGATAGTTGTATGTCATAGTTGCACAGCCTTCTAGTTGCTGTATGTGGGACGCGGCCTCAGCATGTCCGGAGAAGTGATGCGTCAGTGCGCGCCCAGGATCTGAACCCGGGCCGCCAGTAGCGGAGCGCGAGCACTTAACTGCTAAGCCACATGGCCGGCCCCTAATCCTGCATTTTTAAAGCAGGGTTGATTCCAGCACATGAGAATTATTATTTTCCTGGGCTATGAGTAGAGGAGGTGGTGGTGCTGATAGCTAGTGCTAAAAAGGATCTAAAGTCTCATTTTCATTCCCACCCCTTCAAAACCAGGGTCTGGGACTGGCAATAGGGTCTCCTTCCCCTTCCATGATGTCAAGCAGAGTGTTTTTCTATCACATTTCTACATCTGTTTCACTTCTTTCCTTTCAGAGCTGTCCATAACGACAATTTCAACCAGACTTGACTTATTCCAAAATGTTGTGTGGCGGTGGGGACTGAGCTCACACAAGGTAACTTGCCCCAGCCCCAGCATTCCCTTTGGATATGTGAGTCCTCTGGACCTCTCTCTTCAGATGTACGTTGGATGTAACATCTTACTCTCAACATACCTCAATCTGATGACCCTCCATCTCTGGCTCAACGTTCATTCCAATAGTCCCATTTCTGCTGGTTGTGTTTTAAGCATGCCACAGAAGCAGCCTTCCGGTCTCCTTTGATCTTTCTTCACTTTTATTCCTACAGTTCATCTTCTATTCCTTACAACCTCTCTCAGATTCATCACTCTTCTCAAGTCCTACTCCATCCATGAAGCCTGGATCCCCATCACTCTCAGTTGCAATACTATAATAGTAGTACTACTTCTCGCTGGTCTCCTTGATGCTGTGCTTTCCCTGCTCCAATTTATCATGCTCAGACTACTAAGCCAATCTTAAAAGCAGGGCTTTAACAAACATTAGCTTAAATAAAACGAAAACTATTTATGATGCTGTTGGCTCCTTGGGTTCTGGCTCAGCTCTGATACCTATGTGTGCGGCAACTACTGTTTTTGCACTCTCTTCTCTATTCAGCCTCATTTCTGCTAAAATGACTCACCTATGTGTGTACAGAATTGAGAGAGGTTATCACTTACCAGATGGTAAAAGGCATATTTGAACTTTAAGAAGCTGGCAGTATCCTGAAAGTCAGAATTTGGCAGGAGGGGGGTGTGGGTAATTAGGACAAAAACATCACATCTGAGAACTGGTACTAAACTTCTTCTATAAAGAAAAGGAAATCTTCCGACTCTACCCTCTCACTGTTGCCCCCGGTGCTTTAGACACCCCAAAGCCTGTCAGAGGCTCCCGGGCTTAGAAGCCAGTAACACCAGCCAGACTTACCAGAATCCGGTGATCAAACTGCACCATGGTGGGATTCTCAAAAACATTCCTCAGGATGGGGGAGAAGGTAAGGAGATCCTGTGGGATCCAAGATTCTCCCATCTTGGGAAAGGAGTTGTAAACAAGCCCAGCATCCAGTCCTGCCACAAAAGCCCCTGTATTCCAAGGTAAATGGTATTTATTAAAATGAGAGAAAGAAGAGACCAAATACTAGTTCTGACATAGAAAAAGTTTATTATCTCAGAGTTAGATAAAAGGAATAGTCAGAGAAAAATAGAAAGATTTAGTAGGGGTTCTCAAACAAGGAATATACATCACAATCACCATGAGAACTTTAAAAAAAAAACCACAACTGCATCCTCACCTGCTCCCACCCCAAGATTCTGGCATGCCTCCTCCAAAGGAGTGGACTAGAAGCCCTAGAGAGAGGAATATTAATTTGGAAAAATTCCCTTAGTGATTCTGATGCCCTCCTTACCCCACACTGAGAACTACTGATCTATGCTGGAAATGCTCTTCCCTCAGACAGATGCATAATTTACTTCTTCACTTCAGGTCTCCACTCAAATGTCACCTTGTCAAAGAGATCTCCCCAATGATCCTATATCAGATGGTATTCCCCCAACCCCCTCTATCCCCTTATCCCGCTTTATTCTTCTTCACAGCACTGAACACCATCTGACATATTATGTTTTATTATGTCTTCCCCAAGTGCTCAAAAAATGTTTGTTGAATGAACACAGAAATGAAAAATAAAACTTATAAACTAAATCCTGGATAAACACATAAAGAGGGTATTCATGAATTAATGGATGACTGATCCATTATTTATGATCAAAGAGGATTCAGGGATGTTTAGATCACATGCCTTATTTTTGTAAATGCTATTTATAAAGTCAAAATTCGTGCTCTTCCACCAAAGAAGTGGAGGAATTAGGTGGATCATTGGTTTGATGGTTTTATTTTAAAGCAGTGCTGTCCAGTAGAACTTTCTGTGATGATGGAAATATTCTACATCTGCCATCCAATATAATAGCTTAGCCACATGTGGCTACTGAACACTGGAAATGTGGCTAGTGTGACTGAGGAACTAAATTTTAAATTTTATTTAATTTTAATTAATTTCAGTTTAAATAGTCATATGAGGCTAGTGATTATCGTATTGGATAGTGCAGTTCTAGAGTGAGACAGACAGAGGTAGAGGTGTCATTTAAAGAATGAAAAGACCTAGGATGGTCTCTTTGCCCCAGTGAATTCCCCACGTTAGACCATCTTTGAGGGCAGGCTTTTTGTCTGACCCATCTTGGTGTAATGTAACAATATTAACAATAATGTTTACATAATAATAACAGCTAATATTTATGTAACCTTTGCTACATGCCAGGTACTGTTCTAAGCACTTCGCATATATTACTCATACTATTCTCATCATCCCCATTTTACAGATGAGGTCACTGAGGCCCAGAGAGGTTATACAGCTTGTCCAAGGTCATACAGTTCATAGGTGGTGAAGCCAGGATTTGAACCCAGGCAACCTGGATCCAGGTAGATGCTCAATATTTTTGTTCAACTGACTGGAAAGCAGGATTTTTGGAAGGCAGGAAGGAATAGAAAACAGAGGATGAAGATGGGGGGTATGTGAGAGGCAGGTGTGAAAGGGAAATACGATAAGGCAGGAAGAAAGGGGAAAGCATAGGCAAGAGATCCCACAAGAGTGGGATGAAAACAAGCCATCTGTGATGAGAAGATTCCTACCTGATAGAGCTGTAAGGAACACCAGGCCTGCTGTTCCATGAGCAAACCGTCTCAACCACAGGAGTTGACGGGTTTCAGGCAACTAAATAAGGAAAGAAAATCATCAGATAAACTGTACTGCGAGAGGCAGCAAAGACCTCCAAGACCAAACCCAAGTGACAATTTCAGATCATATCTCCTCTGACCCTTAGACTAGGTTAAGTACTCCCAGCAGACAGTCTCTTCTAACATGGATCATATTTTATTAAATTTATACATTTAGTATCTGTCTTCCCTGCTATCCTGTAAGTTTTGTGAAGGCAGGAACCACCATCTGTCTTGCTTACGACAGTAATCCCAGCCCAGTGCTTGGCATGTAGGTACTCAATACATATCCATTCAATAACTAAAGGATTTGCATTGTTCAGGGGTAAAATGTGTCACCATGGTTGAAATGATGTGGCTTAAGATATAGGACTGGATTTTCATGTTGTGTGTGATATTTAGTGCTTAACAAATATAGTTAGAATCAGATTGCATAAACTGCCTGGCGTAGGGATTCTTGCATTTAGTGTTTTTGGTAAGTCAAAATTTCTTTTTATTTTTACTATATCCAACTTCTGATACTAATTAGTGAATCAACAAATATTTATTAAGAATTTTATAAACCGGTAACCATAAAGATACAAAGGAGTTAAGTCAGAGTGCTGCCCTCAAATGGTTTACAATCTAGTAATGTGAAGAGTTAGGTATCATTACTAACATGTTGTAGGACAGTATATCAGTGCTGTCCAATAGAACTTTCTGTGATGATGGAAATCTTTTATTATCTGCGCTGCCCAATATGTGGCTAATAGGAACTTGAAACGAGGATAGAGCAACTGAAAATTAAATAAAAAGTTAATTTTATTTAAAGTTTAAGTAAATAACAGTTTGTTTAAATAAAGTTAATTTTCATTTTAATTAATTAAAATTTAAATAGCCACATGTAGCTAGCAGCTGTTAGCATAGCATTATATGTTTGACTATCATCTCAAATCCTTTCTGTAATTAGTAGACTATAAATAAATAAGAAGACAAAAACAATTAATTGATAATTAAAGTCATCAGTAACCTTTAAGAGTACCATTTCAGTGGAGTGTGTTTAAGAGTGTGTGGTAGGGGGCCGGCCCCACGGCTTAGCAGTTGGGTGCGCGCACTCCGCTACTGGCGGCCCGGGTTCGGATCCCAGGCGCGCACCGACGCACCGCTTGTCCGGCCATGCTGAGGCCGCGTCCCACATACAGCAACTAGAAGGATGTGCAACTATGACATACAACTATCTACTAGGGCTTTGGGGAGAAAAAGGGAAAACAACGAGGAGGACTGGCAATAGATGTTAGCTCAGGGCCGGTCTTCCTCAGCAAAAAGGGGAGGATTGGCATGGATGTTAGCTCAGGGCTGATCTCCCTCACAAAAAAAAAGAGTGTGTGGTATATGTGTAAGCATGTGGGTGAATGTGTGGGTATGTATGTAGGGGGTAACAAGATGACAAGAATTGAAAAGAAAGAATCGGTTGTCAAGAAGTACAGCTACAGATGTAGGCAATTCATTTTAGAAGTTTGGCTTTGAAAGTCAGGAGAACAGGAATTATTCAGATGTGGATTGTCTACTATACCAATGTGTCAACCCCGTCTGGCTTCCCTGTGGGGATGACTGCCAAGTCACCAACTCCTTCCCTTACTGGGATCCAGGCTACTGGTTCAAGCCCCTACTGGATGATTCTACTTAAAAGTCCTACTGTCATCTCAAACTTCACTCCATGAACAGGTTATCCAGGCCAACCATGACTTCAATACCTAAAATACTACTCATTTAAAAAAAAACTAGAAAAATTAGTATTTTCCTTTGATCAGCATACACAGAAAATACTTTTAGGCAAGATCACTAAGGTTTACTATATCGTTATACTTGATGAATGGCAGGTCCAATCTAAAGAACAAACAACTCAACATGGCTCTTGTATACCCTCAAAGATCCAGAAATAGTTCTCATTCTGGCTTCCCTCACCTCGCCATCCACCATCCCTCTGGGCGTCAGAAGTAAAGTGGTTGAGATAGCTTGTGTTGTTGGTACTCCTTCCCACTTTTTCTAAAATTTTCTTTTTACGTTTCACAATAGGTAATGCTGACAAAATATTCCAGCCCCTATACCACTAATTCTCCTTTGAATGAGTTGCTCCAGCTCAAAAGAATAACTGCAAATTTTACTTTGCAGTCCCAAAGCTACCCCAAAGTTCAAAGTTCAATGTTTCTCTAAACTTTGGTTATATCTAGCTGGTAAACTGGTAGATGTTACTAAGGGAATGTGTGCATTTTGACTTATAACTTCCCATTAGAATCAGAATTTCTGTTTCTCTGACTTTGTCAGCATCTGTGCAGATGTGGTAACAATACAGACTGACTTTTACCTTGTGCTGAGGGAGCAGCAGTGAGAGCGAGGTCCACAGGCTGGCACAATAAAGAACAAGGGCTGATCCCAGGTGGGCAGCGAGGCGGTACTGACTGACCCGAGGGATGTCATGGGAGTCTGGTTTCTCTTCTAATCCACTTTTCACCATATACCATCCCAAGAGACCCTAGAACCAAAAAGAGAAGAGGCAAATAAAACAAGGTTGAAACTGTCTATTTAACTTTGCTCTCTGTGAAAGCAAGTTATCAACAGTCAGGGTAGTACTCCCTACATGACCCCACCTTTCCATACCCTCCCATATCCCCAGTATCCCAGGAATCATGGCCTATCCACATTTCCACATATAGCACCATAAATACTTAACCACTGTTTAGATTAACATTTTATTGAAGTATAAGCCAAATATAAAAAAGTGCACAAAAGCATATCTGTGGGCAAAACCTTGCAAATACTTGATATAATTTAACATTAGGTAAAACAGTGAAAAATGAGAATAAAAAGAGTTGTTTCTATAAAAACTAGATTGAAGGCTTTGGAAAAGCTCGACAAAGATAACTGCTTAAAAACAATTACTGTCAAGTTAGTGGGAATAGACATAAGAGTTTTGGGGGGAAGTCATAAAAATCTGGAAGGCTTTGCAGGCAGAATGCTTTGTTCTCACTCCTCTTGGAGGAAAATGAAACAAAATAATAGTTTATGGGGGTGCAAGAGATCTGAAGCTGAACTCCAATGAGAGGACTCAAAGAACAGGCCTTAGCGCTGTTAAAAAAGAAAAGGTAATGAAAGTAAACGATAAGTTTAATCTAGTATGTATTACTATTCTATGATTCCCTGCTTTAACTGACTTTTTCAATTAACCAAACAACCGTCAGTGCTGATCATATCAGATAAGATACAGCCTTTTCAACCCCCCTCTCCCAAGCCAGTAGAATCACATCAAAGAGGTGAGATTCTCCCACCTCTTCTAAATATATACTTCTCAGGAAATCTTTTTGGGCATTTCTTTCCCCCTTCATGATTACCCTGGATGTTCTAATTATCTTGATTTCATCGGCATAGGACATTGGAAGATGGAGGAGGTTACAGTGTGATTTGCCAACCCCTACTTTGTTCCTCCCATAACCCTATCAGCCATCTTCAAATTTCTGCCTCCCTGGGAGTCTGTCGCTAGTGTTTTTTGTTTTCATTCTAAAACAAACTGTCATTTTCTTTCACCTCCTCTCCCCTAGTTTCTATTAGACTTTTAGTAATGTCTAACTCTTTATTGTTTCTATTGCCTCTATTTCATCTCTTCCTTCTTCCTCCTTAATTCCTTCTAATTGGTTCATATTCTTACCATTTCTGAACTAAATTAACCAACTCACTTCCTCCTGATCAAATTTTGATATTTCTTTGATGCTCTGATACTCTCCCTTAGGGCCTGAATACCTTGACCCAAATACTCATATGTGTCTTCTCTAGTATTCCTTTTCTTGGCCCTCAGTCTCATCTAACCCCTTAACTCTGGGAGTCATTCAAAGCTCTTTTCCTTAAGAGGAGTTCAACTTATGTTATTTTAATCACCATCTATACTTGAATATCTCTCAGCTACGTCTGTATTCTAAGATCCTTCATCCCACAAAATGTTTCTCTCTTTTGCAATTTTCCTATTTGCTTTACTAGCCATCCTAGCATAGGGATCCCACTTCCCCACAGAGCAGGCAAGTCAGAAAAAAGGAGGAGATGAGAACCAGGAGGAGAGCCATGATGGGAAAGAAACTCTAATGATGTGGCACAAAAATATATTTATTGAATGCTTATTGATTCCAGGCACTAAACTAAGTACTTCTTATGCATAATCTCATTTAATACACACACATCCTAAACAGTAAGCCCTATTATTATCCCTGTTTATAGGTAAGGAAAGCATAGCCTACAGAGGTTAAACAATTTGCCCTACTAAGGGGCAGAACTAGGCCTTCAAGCCAGGCCTGTGACACTAAAACCCACTCTGTTATCCTGCTTCAAAGATTACTTCCTTAAAAACAAGGCCAACTAGGAAGCTCCTGGGAGCATCTCTGGTTTCCCAAACTTGAATAAATCTCACCTGGAAGCAGACTAAACCACAAAGGGCAAGAACACGTCCTTTCATGTTGCGGCTGAGCCAGCCCTTTCTCCAAAAGTAGGCAGCAGGCAGGATGTATGCGAGGCCTACAAGACGACCCCACATTCGATGTGAGTACTCCATGTACCAGATGAACTTGAATTCTGCCAACGTCATATCATGATTCAAGCTAAGTGAAAAGGGAAGTCAAAAAGAAGAAAGAGGAAACATCCATCTGATTTCTATTTCCCGATGGAATGCAGGCACATTCTCAGTCTTGAAGCTTGATAGGTCTGCCCTCCTCCTCATCAGTGACCTCAGGGTCACTTTGGAACTGAAGGTTTAGAGTAGGGAGCTCATGAAACACAACTGAGCTAATAGCAAGAAATAATGGAATCTAATCATTCTGAAATGTTTAAATAAGCAAAAAATTGAGTGGGCCTGGTGGGATGTTTACCTGATTTTCTATAGTACTTACATTTTAAATTCTGGAAATTGCTGGTATTTTTGGAATTCTGCTTCCCATTCCTCTTGGCTTGTAGGTGGCTTCATCTCCTTTATTAAATGCCAATCTACCATTGAGAGGCCAGACTCTGTCAACCTTACAATAGGAAAGAAATTGGTGTGTGTGTGTGTGTGTGTGTGTGTGCGCGCGCACAACGCTGATCATGAAGGGTTTACAGCAGCAAGTGGATCTGAACTTAACCCCTCTAAAGGTAAACACATTATTTTCTTGTTTCCTCTTTTGACATCTTCCTCTCTTTTTACTGCTTAGAACTTTGTCAGAAACAGCTGCCATCGGGTACAAATTTCTTTATCCCTTGCTCTCTCAATCCTTTCATTCAACTCTTCCTACTTCTTTCTTTCATTAGTATTCCTTGACAGGCAATCAACCCTTAGACCAAAGAAATTTGCCCTAAATGCATAATCAACATTATACCCACAGAAAAGAGATTTGTTATAGGTACAAAACAGTTTAGGTTCTTGAGTGAATTTGAAGACAATGAAACTCAAATTTGTTGCAGTTTCTCATAACAGCCTATGTAACACGTAAGTTATTTTGAAATAAGGGCACAGGGAATGAGGAGAGAATTTGAGGAACACATACTTTATTAAAACAGAAAGTACTTTCACCAAAAGGAGTTAGGGTTCCTAAAGTAAAAGGCTGATTTTAGGCCTGAGGCAAGAAACGTACAAGATGAGCCTGGTACATCTTATTACCCAGAAAGCAAGGAATCAACGCTTACTAGAGTCCTGTCAAAAAGACTCTGGAACCAATCAGAAGCGGCTCCCACTGACTAAAGACGGGACAATTTGAGCACATCATCATTACTGCCATAGATTGAAACATATCAAATATGGTTAAACTTATGAGCTCCTAATGAAACTTAAACACTTTATTGGTTACTTTTGGAGGATGCCTGGGAACCAATTTATTATTTTGAAAATTGGTAAATAAAGGGAAAGAATCAAGTATTCATCCTGCCTTTCAAACTGTACCTTAGGATAACCAAATTGTTGAGGAGGGAAAGTTTCTCTTTAGAGTTGAGGTAATAAAAATACCACAATTTTGCAACTCTAATGAAATAATGGATCTAGGCAATGATCATCAATGACTGTTGCCATCTCTAATAGACACCAGAGATTTATGAACGTTATGATCACCTATGAAGTTATTTTGCCCCCTGCCCCCAACCTGAATCTGATCAAGCCACAACCAGTTTATAGGAAATACAGGGGACAATGGGACATGTTAAATACCACCATAAGAATGCAATTAGCAAAATCCAGACTGTGGGAAACTCCATAGGACAAATGACCTGGGCTTCTTCAACAATAAAAAAACTGCAAATGTGGGGGGTGGGGGGGAGGAGTAGAATCTAAATCTATCAGATCTCTTTATAAGTTTAAAGAGACCTAAGAGGCATCCAAGCCAACTGTGATGTATGGAACTTATTTGGGTTTAATTCAAACAAACTGTACAAAAATTTTTCAGACAAATTTGAACTCTGCAGGGGGAGAATATACACAAACAATGCACGGCTAACAGTTAAGACCTAAACCGGTCTTTATGAAGGGCTCCTACTAATGAAACTCTAAACTATTCTTTGGCAGAGTAAGCCATCAAACATGTTCCCTCTCTTTAGGCCTCAGTTTCTGCATAGGTAAAATGAGGGAGCTAGATGATTCCTAAGGTCCCTTCCCTCTCGGGTCATCCTGTGCCTCTACTCAGGACCCAAACAGCTGACTTGCTATGAGCAAATTACTCACCTAGTTACTCCACCAAGAATAACTGCTCCAGCCACTGTTCCACTGCAGACCAGGAGCCATCGGCCCACCACCCGCTCAGCAGCCTTTGAGGGAAGGGATACCGTACCCCTTCCAGATTGCAAGGCTACTTCAGAGACGGTGCTGTATTGACCTGGCCTCAAGGGGCGCCTGGTCCCACAGCTGCAACCACACTGAAGATCAAGACAGACAAATTACAACTGGAGAAAAAGGGACAGACCTCACTCCACTGCTACTCACACACAATTCCACTCTGTCTCGAGTCAAGTACCCTGTATGGCCACATGTCCACTGCTACTGCCCTGGTACATCGTCACCTCTTAACTAGATTACTGCAACCACCTCCCAACTGGTTTCCTTGCCTCCAGTCTTGGCCTTACTCCAAACCATCCCCACACTACATGAACCTTCTGGTCTCTGCATACTTCCCCCACACTTAACTCTACACCTAGATATGGATTATTTACTTTCTCCTGTGGCTCTTTAAACATGATTTCTCTCTGATGGGGACACTACTTGTCCCCCGACTGATAATATTTACTGCAGATCTCAGCTTAGATGTCACTTCCTTTGAGAAGTGTTCCCAGACTTTCCCAGGTCTGCAACAGGTCACTCTCACAGCACACTGTACCTCCCCTATCACAGTGCTTAACACAGTGTAATGTACCTTCAGGTTCATTCGTTTCTATCTCACACTAAGCTATGAGCTGTGGGACAGCAGCGTCTGGTCAGTTTGGCTCTTTCCCTCCTGCTACTTTTGTTTCAAACACAGTTCCCTTACATAACAAGACCTTAATAAAGACTCGACAAATGAATTACAAATGAATCAACTGTGCCTCCCTCCAGGGAAGGAGGCTTTTGGTACAGTAGTCCCCCTTTAGCCGTGGTTTCACTTTCAACGGTTTCAGTTACCGACGGTCTACCGCAGTCCAAAAATATTAAATGGAAAATTCCAGAAATAAACAATTCGTTAAGTTTCAAATTGCACGCAATTCTGAGTAGCGTTATGAAATCTCGCACTGCCTGCTCCATCCTGCCAGAGGTGCGAATCATCCCTTTGTCCAAGGATCCATGCTGTATATGCTACCCACCTGTTAGTCACTTAGGAGCTGTCTTGGTTACCAGATCGACTGTCAAGGTATTACAGTGCTTGTGTTCAAGTAACTCTTATTTTACTTAATAATAGCCCCAAAGCGCAAGGGTAGTGATGCAGGCAATTTGCATATGCCAAAAAGAAGCTGTAAAATGCTTCCTTTAAGTGAAAAGGTGCAAGTTCTCGACTTAATAAGAAAAAAAAATTGTATGCTGAGGTTGCGAAGATCCACAGTAACTTTTATTACAGTATACTGTCACAATTAGTTGTTAATCTCTTACTGAGCCTAATGTATAAATTAAACTTTATCATAGGTATATACATATAGGAAAAAATATAGTACAGATCTTCCTTGACTTACAATGGAGTTATGTCCAGATAAATCCATTGTAAATTGAAAATATCATGTCAAAAAATGCATTTAATACATCAAACATACCGAACATCATAGCTTTGCCTAGCCTACCCCAAACGTGTTCAGAACACTTACATCAGCCTACAGTTGGGCTATCTAACACAAAGCCTACTTTATAATAAAGCATTGAAAATCTCATGAAACTTATTGAATATTGTATTGAAAGTGAAAAACAGAATGGTTATAGGCACACAATGGTTGTATCAGTTGTTTAAGCCTGGCTCACTGGGAGCTGTGGCTTGCTTCCACTGCCCAGCATCACAGGAGAGTATCATACTGCATATCGCTAGCCCAGGAAAACATCAAAATGAAAAATTTGAAGTACAATTTCTCCTGAATGCATATCACTCTCACACCAGGGTAAAGTTGAAAAAAAAATTTTTTTTTTGTGAGGAAGATCAGCCCTGAGCTAACATTCATGCTAATCCTCCTTTTTGCTGAGGAAGACCGGCTCTGAGCTAACATCTATTGCCAGTCCTCCTCCTTTTTTATTCCCCAAAGCCCCAGTAGATAGTTGTATGTCATAGTTGCACATCCTCCTAGTTGCTGTATGTGGGAGGCGGCCTCAGCAAGGCGGGAGAAGCGGTGCCTCAGTGTGCTCCCGGGATCTGAACCCGAGCCAACAGTAGCAGAGCGTGCGCACTTAACCTCTAAGCCACAGGGCAGGCCCAAGTTGAAAAATCTTAAGTTGAACCATCACAGGTGGAGGACTGTCTGTATATACAGGGTTTGGTACCATCCGCGGTTTCAGGCATCCACTGGGGGTCTTGGAACATATCCCCGGCGGATAAAGGGGGACTACTGTATTTATCTTTCACTTCCCAGTTCCCAATATATAATAATCACTCAATAATTATTAGTTGAGGGAATACACGCCCTCTTTTGACTCTAAGAACCCATAGAACCATGTTTGGTTTCCTGCTTCTAATTAACTTTAGACAACTTAAATTTAAGCCTCAATTTCCTTCCTTGTAGAATGGAGTTACAGTCCCTAACTTGCCTACCTGTAAGCTCTTAGCAAAAATGAAATATATGGGTAAAAATTACTAAGCTTTTACTATATGCTAAGCGCTTGATGTACATGAAATTATCTAATCCTCACAACAACCTTATGAAGCAAGCATTGTTATCCCCATTTTACAGATGGGGAAATTGAGGCACAGAAAGGTTACCTAACTTGGCTAACATCACACAGCTAGTAAGTAGTAGGTTGGAACCTGAACTCAGGGGCTCTGGACACAAGCAACCGCGTTGCGAAGTCTAACGAGCTACGGAAACGTGATGTGGGGTTATCTATTATCTTTCTCCAGCCCCTTTCACCCCATGCCCGCTTCCGCGACTCAGAGTCCGCTGGGATGCGGTACCTGTGCTCTGGGCGCCGCCCTAGGAACCAGGAGCCGGAGACACGGGCTCCCCAACGAGGCCTTCAAGGGCGGAAAGAGTAATCGCTGCATACTGAGAAGGGTGCCCCGCCGCCACCTCCACACCCCACCACTCCGCGCTCTCCTGTCTCTGCCAGCCAAAGGAGCACCACTTCCGGGTCACGCAGCGCGAGCCCCTCCTCCTCAGGACGCAGGGGCGAGCAGTGACTGCGCCTGCGCTAGCGACTTGGCTTTCGCGGGGGCCGCGGGGGCCGCTGGGGTTTGGATGTCGGGGACGCGCAGGGGCGCGCGCGGCGGTGAGGACGCGCTTCTTTGGTCGCGCGCGCCGGAACGCGGACTCTGAGTGGAAACCGAAGACGCACGAGGGAGGAACGCGTCGAGCATGAAGAGACAGGGGGCCTCCTCCGAGCGGAAACGGGCGCGGATACCGTCCGGGAAGGCCGGTGCGGAAGGGGGCGGGGAGGGGGCGATCGGCCGCTTGCGCTCTCGGGGGCGGGCCTGCGGGGGTTCTGGCCAGTGGATTAATCGCCGTTTCCCTCCGACTGGTTTCCCCAGCTGCTCACAGCCCCCTGCGGGGCGCGTTCTGTCAGTGCGGCTTTAAACGTGTGGAGACGGGGGGCCTGAGAAGGGGCGTGTAGCGAGAGCGGCCTGGCTCTGGAGTCAGAGATGTGGGTTCGAATCCTGGCGCCGCCACGTACCGTCGTTCAAGTTGGTGAACTTCTCTCAGCCTCAAGTTTCCCATCGCCACGCAAGAAGACCAGGACACCCCCCCCCACACCCCCCTGCCACGGCACCGCTGTGGTAGTTAATGCCGAGCGCTGAGCGCAGAGCCCAACCTGTGGTGACCGCTCGGTAACCCTTAGCTGCTACGGCGGTGCTGGGGCTTGTCCCCAAAGCCACACAGCTACCGAGTGGCAGAGCCTGTGGCTGCCGCGAGTCCCGAGTTATTCCTGCCACGCCAAGGGTAGGATAGGAATTTGGCAAATGCTTCCTGCGTGAACTCTTGGTTCCTCCACGCGAGCGGTCCGCCAACTTTTTGATCTCAGGACCCCTTTACCTTCCTAAAACGTATTGAGAACCTCGAAGAACTTTTATTTATATAGGTTACATCTGTCGATGTTGATCGTTTTAGAAAGTAAAACAGAAATTTTAAAAATATTTGTTAACTAGAAAATAACCATAATAAACCCATTACATATTAACACAAATAGCAGTTTTTATTGAAAAATAACTATTTTCCTAACCAAAAAAAAAAAAAAAGAAGAGTGCCGATGTTTTGTATTTTTGCGGATCTCTTTAATGTCTGGCTTAGTAGAATTCTGATAGCTGGGTTCTCATACCTGCTTCTCATTCAATCTGACATGTCAGGTAGCCTCCGGAAAACTCCACTAGTGAGAGAACCAGAGTGAAAAAAGGCAAATAAAGTCTTAATGTTGTTTTGAAAATAATTTTCACTGCACAGACTCTGAAAGGGTCTTAGAAACCCCCAGAGCTACCTGGGCTACCACACTTTGAGAACTGCTGCTCCAAACAGATGTCTTCTTTGATCCCTACGAATAACGTTTCTTATGCTTTGTTTTCAAGTTTACACATCTTTTCTCTGCAATGTCTAATTGCTGTTAATCCCTCTTATTCTGCCTTCTGTCATAGCTTTTTGTGTGCATCCCCACCTTCTCCTGGCCAAGGTCCTTTCTTGTGTGAGGCAAATGGTACCCCTGCAGCACTGTCCAGTTAGATTGGTCTGACAGCTGAGGTGGGTGGCTATCAGAAAACTCACGGAATTAACGTAGTGCTGTTGATTAAGCGCATAGAGCGGCGCTTAACTCTTTCGCAGTTTGAGACTGATAGTCTTCCTTTAAATTAATGAGGCAGTTACAATTTGATGTTAGCAGATGGTAGATTTTTGTTTTTCCAACTAAATGCTTTTTTCAAAAATTATAAAAGCAATATTGGGTAGGAAAAAAAAATCAAGCCATATAGAAAAGTAAAAGGAAGAAAGTAAAAATTCCATGTCCTACCACCTAATAGTAACCGTTATTAATATGTGGTGAACATTCAGGTATTATTGCATGAATATGCATTCAGTATTCTTAATTTTAAAAAAATTATGTGCTTAGCTTACAGAAAAAAACTCAAAACTCTTTGATCACACTTTTTAGTGTAAATACATGTATTTTTATGAATTTGTAATTATTCAACCTTTAGTAAATCTTTGTGTGACTATTGTGTTCCATGGTTGATATTGTGCTTGCTGTGGGTAATAATAAAGATTTCTCAAATAATGACCTTACTTAGGAACTTTAGGTCAAGTAAGAGTGATGACACACCTATCTACGTAAATAACAATGAGAGATGGAAGATAGTGTTTAAAGAGATACAGTTAGCATTTTAAAGAGGAACATATAACTTACGAAGAGTTATATGAGTTCAAAAAAGGGAGATACAGTTTCCCACTTTGGGAGAAAGGAAATATGGAAATGTGATTTTTACATGAGCCTTGGAAGATTTTAGCATTCAAAGATGGAGCTGGAAGGACTTTGTGGATTGGCAGATGGCATAAGCAAGAGCAAGGATGGGGATGGAGGGGACCTAGAGGCACACAGAGGAAATAATGTGTATTTAATTAATAACTAAAACTTGTTGCACACTTAGTGGGTACTATCCACTTTACATGAATTATCTCATTTTATCCTCACTACTCTGAGGTAGGTACTAAAACCTACTGTGTTTTTTAGAAAACTTAGGCTAAGTAACTTGTCTGGAATCATACAAATAAATGGTAGGGCCAGGATTTGAAGTCCCTCACTGCTCTTAAACATATATTCCTTATAAAGAAGTTTAAACATATTCTGCAGGCATTGAGAAGCATTGAAAGAATCTTGCCTTGGAATGTGATGGTGAGGTCTGTGTTTTAGGAAGTTTAATTTGGTATTCAGAGTATATTTTTCTTGGTAGAATTTCTTGTACATATGTCTGTGTTTTTATTTCACAGCCCAGAGACATCAATTTAATAATTAATATGGCATTTTATTGCATCCATGGGCCCCAGTGTACTTATCTACTTCCCTATTATTGGACCTTTGGATTTTGGCAGCAAAAAGCAAAATGTTTGTGGTAGATTGGTCTTGATGGATAGTACCATCATGAAATTGCATTGTTCTCCATGTATTTTAGGAGCAGCAAATGGATTTCTCATGGAAGTGTGTGTTGATTCAGTGGAGTCAGCTGTAAATGCAGAAAGAGGAGGTAAGAGAAATTAGAGAATGAATGACAGTTGGCAGTCCTTTTAAAGAGTCTAAAAATGCATCCTGTGAACTGACCTTGAGAGGTCTTGTTATCTCTAAGGATCCTAGTAATCCTTTTGAAAACAACAACCAACTAGAAAACCTACTGGGAAATTACGATTTTCTAGTTTTACTCCCCTAGTAGGTCACATTTTGAGACAAGTGTCCACGAGAGTGCTTACTCACCAACTTCATTTTTTTATTGAACTTAGCAAAGATTTAATTTTTTTCAAACCATTGATTTGAAGATGATTTTAGAGATTAGTTGCCATTTTCATCATCAGGACTTTTATCATTATCTTTTTTTTTGAACATTATTACCTCAAGGTTTCTTTTGCACTCAAACCTGCTTTAATAGGAAGTGTAGAAATTCCCGTCATGTCAGGATCAGAAAATTTTGTACGTATACAAAAGTAGAGAGAATAGTATAATGAATCCCGATGTACCCATCACTCAGCTTCATCCGTTTGTGATACATGGCCAACCTTTCACCAATATTGGAAGTCAGCAAACTTTTTTTGTAAAGAGCAACGTAGTATATATTTTCGACTTTGCTGTCCACATTTGGTCTCTGTTGCATAGTCGTCTTTGTTTTTTTGGTCTTTTTTTGCTGAGGAAGATTAGTCCTGAGCTAATATCTGTTGCCAATCTTCCTCGTTTTTTTCCTTGAGGAAGATTAGCCCTGAGCTAACATCTGTGCCAGTCTTCCTCTATTTTATGTGTGGGTCTCCACCACAGGGTGGCTGACGAGTGGTATAGGTCCGCGACTGGGATCCGAACCTGTGAACCTGGGCTGCCAAAGTGGAATGTGCCGAACTTAACTATTACAGGGCCACAGGGCTGGCCCCCTCTTCTTTGTTTTTTTAAATAATCCTTTGAAAATGTAAAAATTATTCTTAATTTGGCAATGAGAAAGAATGAAGTACTGATACATGCTACAACATAGATGAATCTTGAAACTTTATTCCAAGTAGGAAAAAACCAGTCATAAAATACTATATATTATATGATTCCACTTATGTGAAATGTCCAGAATAGGCAAATTTATGGAGACAGAAAGTAGATTAGTGGTTGCCTAGGGCTGAGGAGAATGGGGAGAAAGAGGTGGCTGCTAAAGGGTGTGAGGTTTCTTTTTGGAGTGATGAAAATGTTATAAAATTGATTTTAGTAATGGTTGCAAAACTCTGTGAGTATACTGAAAACCACTGATTGATACACTTTAAATGGATGAATTGTATAGTATGTGAATTTTATGTTAATAAAGATGTTGTTTTTAAAAAACACTCAAAAACATTTTTTAACTTGCAGGCCATAACAAAAACAAGCTGTGGGCCTTTGGCCTGCAAGCCATGGTTTGCTGACCCCTGATCTGTATTCCTACTTTTCCTTCTCCATCCCCAGGTTATTTTGAAGCCAATCCCAGACATCATGTCATTTCATCCTCAAATATTTCAGTATGTATATCTAAAAGATAAGGACTCTTTTGAAAAAATAATAACCACTCTATCACTAACATTTCTTAAAAAAATAATAATTTCTTTCGTTT